CCAAAAAGAATTAAAATCATAATATTTAGCTTTAATATTCATGTTTATTTAATAGGAAGTGAATGGAAAAAGAAAAAAACGAAGAGAATTTAATTTAGAATGAAATCACTTTTATGCTTCAAGATTTCACAAACCTTTGGTGATTAACAACGAGACATGAAAAATAAAAAGTAGAATTAATCGAGTTTTATTAAAAGAAATTTTATATGGAGCTTTTATCACTTTTAGTAGTTTTATAGAAAAAATAAATAAATAGGATTTGCTTATTAAATTTAAATTAAATAATTACTTTTGAATTTTATTTAAATTTTTAAGGAGAAACAAAATAAAAAATCAAATCAATTGGCAACTAAACTTTTCTTTCCCTTAATTTTTTAATTTGCAAGTTTCTAATTTAAGATAATTTAATAGATAATATTATTTTTAAAATAAAAGATCTAAGTATTAATTATGATTTAGAAGTTAATTAGGAGTTTTTTGAAAATGTGAAAAAAGTGTAGTTCGGGGGAATCGAACCTGCATGTAACTGGTTGCAAAGGACACAATTTTGGCTGAGCAACACAAATCCACTAGGCTAAAAAACTTTATTGTTCAAGGGTGTCTAAAATGTCTTATTTATCTATTTAAAATATTATTTTTATTTATATATATATGGTGTACTTTTCCGATGAAGGGGGTCCAATTGGACACCCTCAACCTAGTGTAGCTCCGCCACTGACGTAAGTTGATTAGACAAAACATGATACAACTTCAGTTTATTGAATACATGACTCTAGATTTGATGGTATTAAGTCGTGCATCTATCAAAATAATCTCTCTATCCACAAAGATAGAAACAAAGTTTGACTATATCCCATCTTCCCCGGACTCCACTTATAAAATTACAAATGATATATTGTTGTGAAATTTGAAAAAAGTAATTTTCATTTTCAAAGTGAAATAAAATTAGAAAATTATATGGTGTTTGACCATGAATACAAATTAGAGTTTTTTTTTTTTTTAAAAAAAACGATTTGGAGTGAAGAATTGAAAACATCATTTTGTTGTATTTCAAATTCTTGAATTTTATGATCGTCATGTTTTCAAGAGTTCCAACTCTGAAATAAAATAAAAATCTTAGTTTTCAAACTCTCTTGAGGTTTTTTGGTGTAGGTGACAGTTAGAATTCGACTATGACTGATAATGACATATTATCTGCAGAAGTTATTATCCTATCAAAATTTTGACCATATTATAAGCCATTTTAAGCATTACTTAATATGTTTGCCAATGCATATTAAAATTGACGTGGCTAATGTTTAAATTGGATATACGTAGTGATATTCATTGAATCATGTAATATTTTAAAATGACTATAAACTCATTCTTATATTTATTATAAAAAAATTAGGGGTGTCAAATGGGCGTCGGCCAAAAGCAACGTCAAATTATATAATGTGAAACTCTGATTAAAGGAGCAAATGTATAATGTATTGTAACAAAATGATTATATATATGTAAAAAGAAAAATACTATATTAAAACTTTAAAACTATATAAAACAAAACTTGGTCTGTCTTTTAGGTGTATCTTTTTTTAGAGTATGCTTTTATTTTCTGTTGAGTTAGTAGAGTTTTTTAAGTAATGGAATTAAATATTGTCTTACCATTATTGGCGATTTAGTTAGCATTCACTATCGAATATAATAAAATAAAAAGTGATCGAATATATTGGGATATCTCCAACGGCATCTATTATTAACTAATTAAATTGTTGAATCAATTAATTACTCTTTGCCTGTGAAAAGATTCCATGCACCATGTGTAACATTACTCATCTTAGAATAATTCAATGCACATATATCTAAGGATGATTTAATTCACACATAAAGAAAAATAAAATGATAGGACAATTTCAAACTTGTAAAGTCCTCTCATAGTTCACTTTTAACTTATCCATTACTGATTACATTACTAAAAGTAAGTCTATTTTTTCTTATTTAGATTAAAGAAATAAGAAATAATTTATTATTTAATTCTCAATTTGATCCTTATTATTAACCATGTTGAATTTATTATATTTAATGACTTATATTATTAAATTGTCATTTATTATAATTTTTAATAAATATTCTCTCCGTCTAACAATAGTTGTCTACTATTTTAAAAATAGTTGTTGAACAATACTTGTTCAATTTATAAAATCAAGAGATAACCTTTTGTGTCTATTTTACCCTTACTATTAAATACTATTTATCATCTAGTACATTTTTCAAAATATTAAATTTAATAAAGTCAAAAAATAATTTAATAATATTACCTCTATTATTTATTATTTTTTAAGGGGTGTACTGTAACAAATCGAAATCCTCACTATATTAATAAGAGTACTGGAACACTATTACAACTTTAAGATTCTAATTGCAATAATCAAACTACCAAATTACAATGGAAATATTGAAATAACAAGTAACTAAAGATAGAGATAAGAATGGAGATGAGGAACTTAGACTCTAGAAGAAGAGAAGAGGACAAACATTTTCTTCAATATGCATAAACCCTTCTTTCAAACTCATTCTTCCTTTTAACCAAATGCTAATTATTTTACTTGGCCCTATCTCATTCACCACTTCCACTACAGGAAAATAGTGAATTACATGAGGATTTTCTTAGGGATTAGTATGAAAATCCGCAGGAAATTTATTTTCCTGCAAATTTTCATACTAAGCCCCAGGAAAATCTCCATATAATTCACCATTTTCTTGTAGTGTAATTCTAACTCATAGGCCTTTACAAAGCTAGCTTGATTCACAAGATGTGTCAAGTCAAATTAATGTTAATAAGTAAAAATGAATCAAAGAAGTAACAACTTGTAAACTCTTAGCCATGTTGAATAAAGAGAAAAAGAGCATGTTCATATATGTTAACCAAAGTAAACAAAACTAATTTTCTTCTTTAATACTTATGAGATTATAAGTTTAATCCTTACGAATAAAAATAATCTTGATAAAAAACATTTTCTCATTAGAGTCTCTTATGCAAATTAATTGAATTTCCTCAACTAATATCAAACATGAAAAACCACAATTAAAATAAAATCATGAAGATGTAATTATTCCATTGAATCCACTGCTTATATGAGACGGTTATCCAAAAATTTAAACAAAAACTTAGAATTAAGAAGTTTTCTTTTTCAAAAATTATTTGCAACCTTATGTAATTCTCAATTTCTCACACGTAAATACACAACTTGAATCCGAAAAGGAAAAAAAGTAACAATAGCTTAACAAACTGAGAGACAGATATATATAGAAATAAATTGAATCGAAATCAAATAGTCGAATAAAATAATTAATTAAATAGTCATTCATTCAATAATTTAGGTCACAAATATTATATCAACTAAAAAATAGTTTGATTAGTTGTATAGAAATCCCTAGAATATGGACAACACATTCCCATCTTTCATGCACACGAACCACATCGTTGTTGTGTTTTTCCTTGTGCTCACATCTTTCATATATTATTATCTTTTTCTCCAAACTTTGCTTTGCTACTCACTTAAGTCTCCAACCGTTTTTCTTAATGTTGATAAGTATAATAATATATATAGGGTGTGTTCGGTATCCTGTTGATAATAGAAGACTTGAGATCGAATTCAGCCTCCGTTTCTGCTATTCAGGCATGAGCTTATCGCACATCACTTGTCTAGTGCAGCTTATATCTCCCATGTAATTTGTGAGCCAATAGTATAATGAACGTACATTTATTAAAACAAGAGCAAGTTTTTACTCAAAATTAATAATAAGAAATAATTCCAGAGACCTCCCCTTACGTTTCACTCAATCGCATGGACCTCCTTCATATCGCATACCTTCCTTATATATATTTTTAACAATTCTTTTAAATCTATTTTTCATTAATGTTATGAAATAAAATTTGACAACTTTGCCTAAGACAACACGTATTTTATAAGGAAGAAACTAGATCCCTAACTCCTATCAAAATCAGGAAGTGATTTTTAGAAAGTGCAGACTTTGCTGGCTTCCTGCTATGACAATGACAATGCTGGCGCGAGACGGAAACACATTTACATTTATCCCTTTTCCCTATACGACAATCTTTACCATTATACCTCTTAATTTTTTGGTGTACATGATCGTGTTGGTTCGAATTTTTTTGATGATGTATTTATATAAACATATAATTACCTTATGTTCTAAATATTTTTTAAATTCTACCAAAATACAGTTAATTAAGGTATTTCATAAGAATAAAAAAATAACACAAAATATGAAATGAATGATGACACTAAAATATTCAATAAAAAATAATAATTAAATTATATAAAATAAATGTTACAAATTAATAAGTCATAACGAAAATCATCATAACTTAAAAGTAATGAATCATGCTAAAATAAGTCTAGTAAGTTCTAATTACATGATTAAACACTAAACAAAAATAAAAATTAGGTCATGTATTTTAAATGCTTAGGTCAATGTAAAACTAAAAAACAAATATTCAACTTTATTGTCATTCTTAGTGTTGAATCAATTTATTTTTGTTAATATTAGTAGTGATTTGATTTTGATTAGAGTTTTATTAGAATTACTAATATTAATATCTATTGACTATAATTTTTATTGGATCATTCAAAATTTTAAGTCTCAAAAACTCGAAATAATATGTTAAAGATAAAAATTATGAAAAAATATAAGAAATTATATATAAAATAAATTTTAAAAATTATATACATAATATTGTGTTGATTTGGTCTGAGTTGACTTCTTTTAGTTAAAATCAAACAAACTCAACTCAAGTATAATCGAGTTTTTTTAATTATCAAAACAAATTAAACCAAATCACTAATCAAGCTTTTTGACTTGATTTACGATTTAATTTTATTTTCGATTCGATTTTGGACATCCATAGTCAACACAATAAATATTCCAAATTCATTTCATTTTTTTTTTCCTTTCCCCAAAACCAACTGAAAAGATAACCTCCAATTAAATTTCTCTTCTTCCTTCCTTCATTCAATTTTCGTCAAAAACGTGTCCAATTCCTCTGTTTGCCACCATATCTACCTTCTCTGCAAAGCAATCTTCTTTTCAAATTTCTCTCAGTTTCCCAATATTCACACAATCTTCTTAAATGCAATCCACAAATCCCAATTCTATAGATTAATTCATTTCATCTCTGTATAAAAAGGGGTTGGTTGCATTTAGTCTTTTTCAATCACTGACATACTGCTGTGATTTTCTTTTAGTTTTTTCGATGGTCCTGTGGGGTGTTTATGGCTACTGATCGCTTTTGACACGCTTCTTCATTCGGCTATATCTATCTCTTTTGTGTTATGAAGAAGCGCTGTGGTGAATTTTTATTTTCAGACCTGAGTTTTTCTTCTTCTTCTTCTGGGTTGTTGGCTGAGTTGAATTTTTCATGGAATTTCCTTGATCCCATTTTTATTCATTCTGGTAATTGGAATTTTATAAAAAACAAATCTTCTTAAATTCGATTTTTATTTTATTTTTTATTTTTTAGGAATTTGAGCATGTGGGCTGTTTTAATTTGTTGGTTTTTTTTTTGGATTTTGATGGAGTAGTGATTGGTGGTGCGAATTTGAAGAGGGGTTCATGGGGAGTATTGATTATGGCAAATGTGTCTTTCCCTTGACTAGTTTGCAAATCGGGTAACAAATTCTTCTCTTTTTAGTGTTGAATTGTATCGAATTCTGTATTTCTTTGTTTCTTTCTCTGTATATGTAAATTTTTGTTGGGTTTGTTTTAATTTGTGATGTTTCTGTGTGCTGGGAACTTTTTTGGTTCCTGTTACTTGTCTTTGTTTATTGCCTGTAGATATACCAATAAATCTTGGAAAAATATTGGAACTTTGTTGCATTGAAACAAATATATGATAATTCTCTGGTTCTTGCTACTCTTTTGTTTGTTAATTAAGTGGAGCTAAGGAGCAAAATTTGTGGAAGATATATCTTGAATTTTCATTACCTGCTACTTGATGATTTCTAGTTTTTTTCTACCATGAATAACTTATTCTGCTCATCAGCCACTCATTTGGGATTACAAAAACTTTTTGGTGAGTTTGTGGGAAGTTGGAGGAGTTTGTTAGAGTCCAACTTGCATTAAATTGGCAGGATATATGTTGTGAAAGACAGGTCTTTTTTGGACTTTAATGAGGCAAGTTAGTTCATGCCGGGTATCGATGAGGAAAACAATCAATCGAAAACAAAGAGGACTTCCTCATTTTTTTTTTAATGTAAATGGCTTTTTGCATTGTTATAGACCCAAAACCAGCCTGAAGACTTTGAACTACTTCGTTTCAAAAGGAACTTCAGGCTTTATTCTATCAACAGATTCATATTGAGAATTTGACTTTAGGTAGAATGTGTTTGCATCATTGAGGAAGCTGCTTGAAGTTACCATATGATAGGCTCTCCGAATGAAGTTAAAAGGGTTAGGAGAGGTTGTATTATTACTTGAGTGAAAATCCACGATTTGAACATTGTAGGTTCAAGTTTGGGGTTCTAATTCTGCGCATTTCATTTACTAGGTTTGCAATCTGTAATTTGTACTCATCAAAGTGGATTTTTTAACACATACACACAGAGTCCCGAGCCAAAGCTATTGGGTTTGGATGAATCCATAAGACGTATGCTAGCTCCGTTTATGCTTATTGCGTGGCTGGGCAAATAAAAAATCATGTTGGTGACTTAATGTTCATTAGCAGAATTAGTATCTTAGGAGATTTTGATATAGCAGTTAAAATTTATATCAAGTTCTAAATTTTATGTAAGTTGCTATAAACCATTAGTCAACAATTTATCTTTTTAGTTGTCTTAATATTTAGATACTGCTTTTATATTTTACAGGGACTTGCAGTCCTATCTTTCACATCTTCACGTTTTCCTCGCTCCTGAGAGTAAGAGATTATATATCTTGGTGGACAACCGTCCATGGCTTAGAGATCTTGTCTCTAAACCTGCACACTTATGGCAATTGATGGTTACCAAGGTTGGTAGTGCATCATTTCCCTATTTTCCTTTTCTCTTTTGTGATGTAACTAGGAATTTTGTTTTTCCAAATGCAGTCCAGGTTATCTCCCTTTGCAAATACCAGAGGGAGGAAGCACAGGAAAGAGAATGGAGATATAATGGATATAAAATCTAGTCCAGAATTAAGCACGAGTGAATCAGAAAACGTCAGAAGATGGTTTCCCTTTCTTGATGCTGCAACATTGTCCAAGAGGAGGGAATTATTACCTGTAAAGAAATTGAGAAACTCTTTAATTTTGAATAGCAAATTACATAGGACCTTGTATGGGTTCATTGTGTTTGAAGTTGCGTGGAGTGATGTGCGTGGTATAAATTATTTCAATGAGCTTCAGGTATAAGTCACTTCCTTTTGGTTGCTTGACCTTTTAAATGTATGCTGCTAACTTATTTTAAACTCTTGGGCAGACAGATACATCACTTGCCATAGAAACAAAGTTCATGAAAAGATGGGAATTTGATAGTGTAGCACAAGCTGCTAAATGCATGTCGTCATGGTTTTCTGGGACTCCCACAGAACATCATCTCCTGAAAGTGTGTTTGGAATCTACTATAGGTATCCTTTATTCACGTGGTATTTGATACTATGCTTCTTTATTTGATTCAATAAAATAGTTACCTGGTCCTATATACGGCCACTGATGACTTCAGCTCTTCCCCCATTTTTCTTTGCTATGGTTTATGCATGTAGAGATCCACTTCTTTGTTTCTTAAAGTGTGCCTATAAGAAATGAACCATTTTTCCTTGGTCGGAGGAACTAGACAGAGTTATATAGTGAATGGAAAACCACTGATTATCTTGGGATAGAGAGTGCAAAATACCACTGGCATTTTGGAAAAAGAGAACTTTCATTGACCGTCCTACTAGAAATGAAAATTTCTCACTCAGTAATAGTGATTGCTACTTTCCATAGAACTTGTTCTAATCCGCTTTTCATTAAACAAATATTTGGTCCAAATATTCGCAAAAACCCATCTAATCTGCTGTAAGTTCATTTCTTCATATGTTATTACTTGATGAACTCCTCTGTAGGCATGCGAAATTCTTACATGTATTTTGCGGTGAACTTTTACAGGAGAGGTATTTTATGATTCTCAAGACATTTTTCGGGAGACTTCTGGTGTTGCTGACAGTGATATTTCTTCTGCCTATTCAAGTGACGATGATGAATCTCCTTGCGGTTCAATGAGAAGTTTCAGTATGTACCCTGCAACAGAAAATGGTGAAATATCTCTGCATACACCAACTCCACTTGATGGAGCTCATAAGAGAAGAAAACTTTTGAAGTCTATCAGTAAGCGATTCAATGTTGATATGCTCTCTGAGGAGCCCTTTTCTGAAACTATTGAATCACAACTACATGGTGATCCCTCTGACAGAAGTACTTCTGAAGTAGTTGAAGCCTCCCAGTACAAGGATGTTTTGCTTTTGTTTCGGTTTAATCATCGCGATTTTCCTTTCAAACTAAGAGACATCATTCTTTCGGACTTACGGCTTCTTAGACTACTTGAAGCTGGGCTTCCTTCATGGGTCATATTTCTCCAGTCCTATCCAGTATTTTGCCATATATATCGCCCATGGATGTGCCCTCTAGCAAGATTTTTATATGTCATAATCTCTGTGGTTACTGTTCTAATTGGATTTTATGATCTATACAAAAATGTACCTGTACTCAAAGCGACAGCCTCTAGTTTGTTTGGTCCACTGTTTGATTGGATTGAAACATGGGAAATGGTATCAAGAATTCAGTACTTGGGGACCATGCTATTTCTGCACAATTTTCAGAAGGCCTTCAGGTGGTTCCTCATGACAATGCGTACTACTCGATCATTTTTCTCCGTTCTCACGCAGCCAATGGCAGGTCCACTTGTTGAGTTTGTGGGATTCTTCCTTCCTTACTCGACTATGTGTGCACAAATTATGGAAGATTTCTTTTCTGTAATATGGTTTACAGTCTGGTCTTCTTATTCTCTGGTGGGAAAAACCATTGAGATTTTGTTACTACCTCTCTGGTATACCACATCGTTTGTTTGGAATCTTGGTAAGTATATGTGCAACTGCAGAATATGATCCCAATTCTTTTGCTTAAAATGTGGTTTATGAATTTAAAATTGGTACTGTCTGTATGAGGCTCTTTTTTCTCATCTGATTTTTTCTCAACTGCAGTGACTTATTTATTGTATCCCATCTTCTGGATTCTGTGGGAAGTAGCATATGCTCCAATTCGCCTGGTCTTTGGTTTTTCTAGCCTTCTGGGCTTTTTATGTACTTCTATATATGAAGTGATCATGGATTCATGGCTGTTCGTAAGTAGCATAGTTCGAGTCACTTCTCAGGTGGAGACTACAGTGACATCCAGCGCAGTATCCGTATCCATATGGCGTTCTCTTTGGAATGACCTTTTCTCTCAGGTAGCTCACTTGTGGCCATTTAATCCTAGTATGAGAATTATTAAGAGTTCTTGTGCTAATACGTTTCTTCTGAGTTTTGACTTCTACAGATTTTCAAAGCTCTTCGAAGTATTCTCTATGGTTTTGTTGCATTTTTCACAGCCTGCAACAGACACCGGCTAAGGTATTGTTTTCTATTTTGCTGGTCTCTCTTTGAGAGTGTCATTTTCTATGGGTACTTTCCAAATTAACTCATTGCCTGCTGCCATGTAGCATTTGCAAAAGACAGGATGGGAGTTAGATTTTGAATTAGGATGGATGGCATGGTATTTAACATAGAAAAATATAGTTAGGATGTACGGGATGGGTCTGATTGGCCTCCTTATGGTGGACTAAATATCTAAATGGCCAAGGAAATGTGTTAATCAGCAAAACTATGTGCTACTTATCACCCCTTTATGTAACCTGACTGCTAGTGTTTGTACGTTATAGGCTCTATCAAAAAGACTTGTATTACAGCACAGAGAGAAAAATAAGTGAAAACCTGTCCTGCTTCCGTGCATCCCGATAAAGATTTGTTGGTCTATTGCAACTCTGAAATACTAATAATTTTTAACTGTTTATGTTGAATTTTTCGTGGGATGCACCTACTCACCTTTTGGATTGGTGGATTGAATCTTAAACATTTTATTTGCAGTATCTATAATCATATGAGTGATTTTATCCAAAGATTATCCCAGCCTGGGAAATGGTCACAGCCTGCAGAACGTGGCCGTAGTCCACCAACATCTGGAACACAAATCACAGTAAGTTTACATCATTTCAAGTCTTGTTAATCATATTTGCTAGTACATCTTCTTATCAAATGGTAAAATTCTGTTACCTTTTCGGAGGATGTCTGTTTCTCATTATGGTGTAGTGGTTGGGTTGTGTTTGCACCTTTCCTTTTAGAACTTTGCTTGGTTCCAGTATTTGTGCATTAGACTTATTATAAAAAATTCTCAGTAACTTAAATACTTCATCATTTTCATGCCAAATGATTATTCACTTGTGCAGTGGGTGGATACAAAAGATGTGCACCACCAGCGAAAATTCAGAAAAATCGATTGATGAGAGAGAGACCTCTGCGCCTTTTAACTTGTACAGCAAAAGTTAACTCCGTCACTGACCAGGAAGTTTTCTGTGGGTGGCATATGTAGGATCTATCTCTTCATGGGAAATCAGTTTTGCTCAGTTATTTGGCTGTTGCCCCTTGAGTTTTTTGTTGCTATCTACTTTTTTATCGTCCCCTTATAGTGTTAAGGACGGGGACTCCACCTAGAGCTTGTAGCATACCAGAAAATGTCTTGTAAATAATGCAAACATGGAGATAGTTTTTGAAATATAAAGTAGAAATGTTAGAAGTATCCAATGTCTGCTAAGTAACATTTCTCATCTTTGGAGTTGTATCTCCCTTTATATTACGCGTACCTGCTCTAAGTCCAGCAGATATAAACAAGATTTTTAGAAGTATGGGTTCTGTGTTGTCTGCAATTTATGAACCCAATCAAACAATACTCTAGTTTTCTCCTTGAGTTGTGAAACAAACGAGTCTATTAGAAAATCGAATCTTCAAGTAGATGGGTTGATCTTAATTGGAAATGGAATAACAAGTGTTTACAAATCGAACAAGATTCTAGTTTCTCAAGATGGAAATTCACACATTAATCAAAGCATAGCATGAGATGCACAGTAATCTCAGATAGGTAATAGGTAGAACAAGCAACACTTGAGTTTCACGACAAGAAGCCACTGGAGATCTTCTTGCAACAGTAAGCAATACGTAGCTAAGTTCATACAAACATAGTCAAAACCACAAAGCTTATATATGCTTCTACAGTACCTAAAGTAGCACAAGCTACATTCATTAAAGTCTACCACCTAGAAACTCAGTCTATGTCCATAAACAAAAGAGATGAGATGCCTCAAACAGTCGAGCCTCCAGTTTGATGCAACATTGCATCAATTTCATCGCCATCCTCCATCTCCAGCTGAAGCAAGGAAGAAAAATTGTTTGAAAACAAGATTTAAGAAAACAAACATATTATATTTTTCGTGTACTATTTGTTCCTTATTTTTGTGTGAGCACAACAGATGGTCTGAGAGAGTGTGAAAGGGAGAGAGAGATACCTCATCTGGAGTCTGCTCTCCTCGAAGACGACGACCATCAAACAAGAATGCAATTGAATTAAAATCCACAGACTGCCGGTCACAATATGCATTCATGAGTTTCTTTAGTTGGGTGCTTCTTTTGATCCTAAAGAAGACTTCATTCCCATCCTGCAACCAATAGAAAGCTAAATATGTAAATCTCTCAACATGGTCCAATTCGTTATGGCAGGCAAGAGGGCACTTCTCTTTAACCGGCAGCCATCAACAGTACGATGAGAAAGGAAGATGGAATCAATCACACACAACATCACATTCCGCAATCAGATTGCAAAGCAAACAAAGATCACACATAATTGTAATATGATAACAACATAGATACGACTAAGGGAAGTTGTCTACCACTAATTGATGCAAGCAATTTATGCGTAGCATCAAAGCCTACCATTGATGACTAAGGCATGATCCTCAGCGAACACCATCGATTACACTATACCTAGTACCTTGGTTTAATACCCTATCAAATAGATAGATGTACACAAATATCAAAAACATAGAACTACCTCAATCTAACACAACAAACACAGAAGAAAAGTGTCGCTTTACCATCTATAATCTCACCCCCTACAACAACCCTTCCCCACAAGGGAAAAAGACTATTCTAGAAGCCAATATCTTACATGTATTCAAACAATATCTTACATGCATTCAAAGTTATGTTCAGTACCCTATGGAGCAATCAGCTACCTTTTACCCACTCGATCAGACACAGTTGATAGTAAACCTGGCTTGGTAAATTAGAGACTTTTGCAACCACATAATGCACACAAGAGTTTTAAAGGGAAATGATGACTACTCTTTCTAAAAATCAATCTGAAAAACATAGATTATCTTTGATTAATGATGCGGAGGAATGTTTTTTCACCTCAAAACACAAAAAGTGCTTATCAAATGAGTCTCTGCATGATTTCAAACAAATTTAGCCATGAAATTACACATTTGGCCATAAAATTCGGGAAAAAAATAAATCCCGTTTATACTTTTTTCAAGAGTTTTCATAAATTCCAAAAACAACAAAAAGTTCACTTTTTTCCGCTCCAAATTACTCACAAAAATTAAAAAAAACAACTCTGATTTACTTCATGGCCAAACACAACTATACATTATTTTTCACTTTGAAAATAAAACCTGTTTTTTTTTTCTTTCAATTTTCTCAATGAAACAGAGCCAAAAACACCTGCTAATAGACTCACAAGTCAGTTACAGAAGATCTAAAACACCCCTGTACAGCATAAACGAAGCTCAATCCAGATTTTAATACATACATACAAACAAAAACAACTGCAACATATAATCAAGCATGAATACAAACAACAGGACATTCAGACATGCCTGCCTTCGAAACGAAGACTGAATCTAACACATACTCAGTCTGTTTCAATTTATATGACATTTATTTTATTTTTTGAGAGTTTTAATTTGACAGTAAAAATTTACCGTTAAACATAAACTTATTTGAATGTCGAAATCGGAGAAGTATCAAACAAAAGCCTAAACAGGAGAGACAATATGCGAGAAAGGGAAAAGGGCAGACCTGACTTTTGACTTTGAGATTGATGTGAATTAGATCGCCGCCAGGCTTCTTGTCTTCCTCCGCTGTTTGAGACATTTTTTTCTTACGCCTAAAACCAAAAGAAGAAAAAAGAGAAGAATATCAATTTTAAGGTTTTTGACTTATTTATACTTGTACTCTTTTCTACTCTATTTCCTCTTCCACCCTTCGCGTAAAAACCACGCAACTTTTCAATTTTGTCTTTTCCTCTTCCTTTTTCTCTAATTTCTTTAATCAACTAATTACAACTTGTTTGGATGCGTTACGTATGATGCCAATTGCCAAGTGGAAATATAGCATATATATGTTTATTTGTTTAATTTTGTATGGATTTATATATTTAAAATTAGAGAGTATAAATATCAGGTGAAATCTGAAGAAAAATCTTTTTTATTTATAAATTTAAAGGTTCTTGAATCTTACTTCAAGTTCTATCTATTATGTATATTTTTGTATAATCTATATTTTCTGTATATAATGAAAATAACTAGTAACATTCCTATTTATAAAGGTAAAAATCTAATTAAACTAGGACTAGAAACTACTCTAACTAACAAATCCTAAATAAACATAAATAAGTAAATACAATAAATAACAAATCCTAATCAACTTAGGATTCCTACTCCAAATTATTATTTCCAACAAAATCCAATTAAATAATTTTCTAATTACTTGTCCATTTTTGAATAATCACATCTATTAAGAAAATAATGATTGACATAGTGAGTTTATCATTTTACTCCTATTAATTATGAAATTGATGAATTAAAAAACTTAAGAGTTATAAGAAGTTCTACATTTTTTAAAATAATTAATTGATGGTAAATAAGTTAAAAAATTGTCATTTCTTGATTTGTCAAAATGGACAAGTAGACATAAACAACTAAAAAAAAGAAAAATGAACAAGTAATTAGGAATATACGGAGTATATTTATAGTTGAATAAGATTTAAGTTATTTATGTATGATTCGTATAATTTATACGATATTTCGTTGGTAGATAGAAAATAAGGTATTCATGTATAAAATTAATACGATATTTGGTTAATAATTTAGAAACTGGTATAACAAATATATATATATATATATATATATATATATATATATATATATATATATATATATATATAATATTTTTTTTAAAATAATACATAAATTTACTCATAATTAATTTCTACATTACTAATGATCACCGACTCTAAGTTTCTAATCAGCTATGAAACGGCCAAAGAGTTTGTAAACCTTGAAGAGTTCTTTTTCTACCTTACGTGTAGTCAATTTTACTTCCACGTTTCAAGTCGTACAAATAATTAAAATTTATCTTGGTACTACCCCTACTTTTTATGCTGGGGTTGAGATTTTGAAATTGTTCATGTCCCCAAAGCCCAAGCTGTATTTTGTTTACATATATAATATATTTTAGGGAAAAAAGATTAAAAGAAATGTCCTTAAATTATGTAAAAGAAATAAAAATATTTTTCATTTATAATTTGATTTAAAAATATATTTACCATCAATACTTTGGTTCAAAAATGTTCTTGCAATCAATACTTTGGTTCAGAAATGCCTTTATAGTTACTAAATGGGTAAAAATGTCATTTTTCGAATAAATATTTTATTTTTTTATTTTTAAACATATCTTCTTCCTAATTAACATATTATTAAAGAAAATTGTTCTTGTTTTCTTTCTTTTAAAATCACTTTAACAAATGAAAATATAGCAATTTTTTTTCTTCTTAATCTCATTTTATCAATTAAAACAGAATAAATTCATGTAACCTTACGACATACAATATATGTCATATATATAAGATCATAGTATATTCATCATAAAAAATAATTATAATAGAATAAGAATGTTGTCATTTTTGTTCCTTTCACATAATTTAAGGGAATTTTTTTTACCCTTTTCCACATATTTTATTTGATTAGTTACACTTTTAAGTGTTACTTTATTTTTATTACCATATATGACATAAAATTATCTTTAATAATCATTTGATATAAATATGTATTAAAGTTGTATTAAAATTGTATATTAGGTGTTGTATTAAAGTTGCATCAAAACTGTATTAAATAGAAACAATCGGTGGTCTGTTGGCAGTGACTACGAAAAAGAAGAGATGAAGCTTTGAAAATCTGTATTCAATTGTATAATATAAACGATAGTTATAATACAATTCGAATTCGATATTTTACATTACTATAAATTCGATAGTTATTAATCCAAAACAAATATAATACATCTCTAACAATGTCAACTAATTTAAATAGTACCGGAATGTTTGAAATTCACATTAATACTTATAATCTATTTGTATTAAAAATGTTTTAGTTATATATATTAGGTGAAGTTCTGAAAAATTATTGTATTAAAGTTGAATCAAAATTGTATTAAATATAAACAATCGGTGGTCTAGTGATGGTGATTTACCGGAAAAAGAAAAAGAGGTGAAGCTTTGAAAATTTTGTATTAAAATTGTGTAAAAAGACAGTGATAGTGACCATGTTATTTGTGGTAAGAAAGTAAGGTTAATCCGTATAAGAGTAAAAGATATGTTATAATTCGTAAATATAGTTATATAATATATTATTTATGTAAATTTATACAGTCAAATTTCTATAGTATTTATATGATAAAACACTTTAATATAATAATTAAATTTTTTTCCAAAATCAGTTTTTATGAAATTCTCTTTCTGTATAATATTTTTAAAAAAAATATGTAATTACAATAATCATCTTTATAACAAAACACGTTCTTTTGATCAAATATTTTAATATAATATTTATGACAAGGGAATAGTAAGTTTAAGTTGAATAAATATTCGTTATCCAAATAGATCTAACATACATTAATCGAAATAATATAAATTTATGTCATAATCCATCTATTGTTCAATTTTAACCCAACTCTTGGGCCAACACATGTCCAATTTCTTAGTCAAGTCCAAATGCTAAGGGGTCGTTTGGTGTAAAGGATAAGTACAAATAATCCTGGAATTAAATTATAGTACCATTTAATTTGTTGTTGGTTGACAAGTTCTAAATTACTTATCCCGAAATTAATAATTAGTACCGAGATAAGTTATCCCTCCCCATGGGTGGTATAGTAATCCCAGGATAACTTATCCCGGGATAAAATAGGTAAATGACAAATATGTCCCTTTAAATCCTTTTTATACACCATTTTTCACATTTATGTATATTTATACATTTTTTTAATACCATGTATAATAATATTTACTACTCCTTATTTTTATGATAATTATACATATTTTTCTATTAAAAAATTACACTATATAAATATAATTTTTATTTATGAATTTATTTGACTAATTCTTATGTTTATTTTATTTTGATTTCTCATAAATTTTCTTCTCTTTAACAAGAGGGAAGTTCTATTTTTAAGCTAAATAAGAAAAAAAGTTATATTTTTAAATACACATGGTACTTATCACGGGGATACATAAACAAAAATATTTAAGTTAAATAAAATAAAAGTTTTATTTAAAAAAATGAATAACTAAAGCTCGCAAAGAAAAATTTAAAAAGTTTAAATAAAGTGAAGGATAATTTTGTAAACAAACAACTTGTTCTTAAAATTTATCAATATATAATATTTTGAATACAACAAACCAAACACTCAATAAGAAATAATCTCAGGACAACTTATCCCATCATAACTAATCCCAACATAACTTATCTCATCATAACTTATCCTATCATAACTCATATTCAAACCAAACGACCCCTAAGGCTCTCTCAGTGAATGCACCTTCGTGATTCAAAATTATAAAGCTACTATTGTTCGGTCTTATTTGTTTTTATTAAGATTAAAATATTTTGAATTTGAATATTATGATGTGAAGATTAACATGTTTGAATCTAGATGAAAAGGTATTATCTTTATATCTGAACATTAAATAACTAAAATTATTTGTTTTCAATATCTGAGTATATATAATTTATTTTTTGAAACATAGTCAATATACAATTCTAAGTAAAGTTAGGAATTAAACATCATATAAATAAAATATTATAACAGTTCATTTCAGTAAAATAAAAATTATATTTGTATAGAAAATAATATTTCAAAGATATAAATATATATTTAAACATTGGTTCTATTTAATCTTTAGTGATCACTCTTTTTTTATTTTGACATGCTCTATAATTAGCATTTTGAGGAACAAAGTCGGCAAGTGTTCTTTTTGGAGGCATCACACGTAAAACAAATGTTGAACAAGTCGGCAAGTAGTTCTTTAAAGAAGACAAAATCAAGTGTTACATTTAAAGTTGGTGACAAATTGTATTCGTGATATAATTTGATGTAATCTCTTTCATGTCTTACTTCATTTTTTTGGATCCCGTTGGCTTCTTTCTTCTTTCTTTTACTCTTGTTTGCATCTCTTTTAGTCTTGCTCATCCCTCTCTTCTCTTAAATGTATAGCTATAAATTGTCATTAAGCAAATTATAATTATAGATTCCTAATCAAGTTTATAAGGTAAAAACAAGACTGGATATACTCTAATTTATCCAAACCCTACTTCAGAAATTTTACTAAATATATCAATTTTTAGACATAATTGAAACTCTTTCATAAACAACTCTCGAGACAATGACTTTGAAACTAATTAAAAGTCCTTGAAACAAGAAGGAAGGAAGGATACAAAAGTATAAGCTCATCAACGGCACAAATCACTTTTTAAGTTCAATTTCATGATTCAATCAACTACAGTAAATCTCTATATTCAACATTAATAAAGAGGCGTCTCCTATTTTTAGAAACGGTCGATTAAGTGGGGTCTTGGAATATAGTGGGGGCCATGTGCTCTGCTTCATTGGCTTCTTCATCAATCGTAGGACCCACCACTTATCTCCTCAATTCTCACTCTCCACTAAACGAAAAGATGCTTATTTTCTCTTGTAGTATTTGATAGAAATAATAATATAAATAATTTATTTTTTTAGTTTTTCATTCAATTCAATGTTCGGAAGCCTACCTATTTTGGACTAAGGCCCCATTCGAAGAGAAAAGCTCCCTCATACCCAAGACAAATCCGAAAGCAGCCTCATCCGTTGCATTATATCTTTGACAGTAATTCAATAAATATTTAACATAAATTAAAAACATTAAATTTTAACAAAGCATAAAAAATCAAAACCATTAGAACTTACCCTCAAACAAAAAAGCTCCATTTCTATCATTTCTATCCCACTATACACACACTTCAACTCTCTATTACCCTCACAACCCCTTTAAAGCACCACTCACTTTCATGCTCTGTTTCTTCATCAAACAATAGAGCATGGAAAAACTCACCATTTGTCTTCTCCTCTTCGCCTTTTCCCTTTCCCTTTTCTCCTCCATTGCAGGTAACAACTCTTTTTCTTTAATTTTTTTTCTCACTAACTTCACATTATCATAATTTTCTCTCTTAAATCATCTTTTTTTGTGGTGCATTTGCAGATGCTGGTTCAATTGGGATAAACTATGGCCGTGTAGCTAACAACTTACCATCAGCAGTGAAAGTTATAGCGTTGTTGAAATCTCAAGGCGTTGAGCGTGTGAAGGTCTACGATACTGACCCAGCTGTGCTCAAAGCTCTTTCTGGATCCGACATTAAGGTTACTGTAAATCTGCCTAATGAGCTTCTCTACAATGCCGCTAAACGGCCATCTTTTGCTTACTCATGGGTGGAGAAAAATGTTGCTGCTTATTACCCATCAACTCAAATCGAATCCATTGCTGTTGGAAATGAAGTTTTTGTTGACCCACATAACACGACCCGTTTTCTTGTATCCGCCATGAAGAATGTACATCAAGCTCTTGTTAAGTTTAATTTCCATGACAAAATCAAAATCTCTTCTCCTGTTGCTCTTAGTGCTTTGCAGAACTCTTACCCTTCTTCAGCTGGGTCGTTCCGATCCGAATTGGTCGAACCTGTGATTAAACCCATGCTGGATTTCCTCCGGCAAACGGGATCTTATCTAATGGTGAACTGTTATCCCTTTTTTGCTTATGAGTCGAATTCCGATGTTATTTCTCTTGATTATGCTCTGTTCCGTGAAAACCCCGGCGTTGTTGACGCCGGTAACGGACTTCGTTACTTCAGCCTGTTTGATGCCCAAATCGATGCTGTTTTTGCTGCATTGTCGGCTTTGAAGTACAACGATATCAAAATGGTTGTAACGGAAACTGGCTGGCCATCTAAAGGAGACGACACCGAAATCGGCGCTACCGTCGACAACGCCGCGTCGTACAACGGAAACCTCGTCCGGCGGATACTCCTCGGTGGTGGAACCCCCTTAAGACCTAAAGAAGACCTCACCGTCTTCCTCTTCGCTCTTTTCAACGAGAACAGAAAGCCGGGTCCAACTTCCGAGAGAAACTTCGGGTTGTTCTACCCGAATGAGCGAAAAGTTTACAACATACCATTAACAATGGAAGGTTTAAAGCATTACGTCGACCGGCGGTCACCGGTGGCCGGCGACCAGAGAACGCAGAAAGGCGGGAAGGTGAATGTGTCAGGGCAAACATGGTGCGTAGCGAGTGGAGAAGCGGAGAAGGATCACCTACAAGCAGCTCTAGATTATGCTTGTGGTGAGGGTGGAGCTGATTGCCGTTCGATTCAACCAGGATCCACGTGTTACAATCCTAACACGTTAGAGGCTCATGCGTCGTTCGCTTTCAATAGTTATTATCAGAAAAATGGTCGTGCGATGGGTTCGTGTTATTTTGGTGGGGCCGCTTTCATTGTTCATCAACAACCTAGTAAGTACACCATATCATTTCTCCATAATATTATTATACTACTATTTATTTTATTTAATTAATTAATTTGCGTGTTGGATTTTGCATTCTTTCAACCTTGATTACTGTGACACGTTTGACTTATGAGGTATAATGGTTGATGGTAAATTACTAAATTTAATGTGTGGCGCACTTTAAGGGGTGAATTTGCTAACGTGTACTTTGTAAGGGCCCCACAGATAGGTAAAATTTGTTGGTATTAGTTAATGGTGCAATCCAGGCAGGTCATGGAGACAGCACGTGATGGATGGAGACGTTTGGGTTAATAATCGTACCTGTTGCGGGTGGGAGGTTAGAAATAAGTATTTCATAGAATTAGTCGAATCATGGTTAGCTTTATATCATGGTTTATGAATTTTTCAAGTTTATGATTTAGTGGTTATTGAAATGATTGTGTGAGTGATTCTTCTTATCTGTTTTATAGACAGAGTTAATTGTTCGAAGGTTATAACTTATAACTATCTCATGCGAATAATTCTTTTTCAGTTTGTTTTTTCTAATGTCTTGTTGATTCAATGGATATTCGTGGCTGGTCAAAATGAAACTATAGTATTACTATTTATTTACTGATGTATGTATGGTTGATAGTAAAAGTTTTAGCTTTGGTACGTTAAAGCTGAGAATAAAGCATTTCGTTGAGTAAATTTATACATCTATCTGTTTGCTTTTTGTAGATCATATTTTCTTTTTATTAGTACTTGAAAGTTACTGGTCTTGTTTTGCACATTTCACCCACTCAATTTTTCTTCTATATTCTATATGTTGCACTTTTTGTTTATTTATTTACATTTGAGGTAATATTTTTGTTATTTATTGTTTTGCAGAGTATGGACACTGTGAATTACCAACTGAAGAATGATAAAGGAATGGGATAGACTGAATTTTGATAGCAGCAGCTAGCTCTAATTTATTGTAGTAGCTACTTTTATTTCAGACTTCAGACTATTCTTTTTTATTTTTTGGGAACTTTAGTATCTCCATTAGTTGGTGTTGACATCATCTTTACTAGCTACTAGTAAATGTTGCTATATTTTCCCTTTTCTGTTTATATGCTATTTTAATTCTAATGCTTTATGTGAAAAATCATTATTTTATATGGACTTGTACTGGTGACATATCGATAAATATTTTAACATGACAGTATTCTAGAATATTAGCTAGTGGCAGTTTAAGAAAGAATATTTTCTTTTAAGAAAATGTTTCAAAATTATCCTGATAATATGTGATCTTAACCATACTATGACATTCTTATGTCTATATATAAGAGCATGTTTAATTTTGAATATTTTCTAATATAGGTGAAAGGCATCATCTATTTTTTTAGAATAGGCAAACTTATATGCAAAAACCAGAAAATAAGATCTTAAGTCAAACTTTTGGGTTTGGGGTTTTAAAGCAAACATGATGGCTTTGCCACTTGCTAGATGGAATAATAATGAATATAGAGGTAGAATCGCAAGTACTTCTCCATCCTTAATTAAAAGTTTTAGGTTTAAGTTTCTTTGAGTATGGAGTTTGGATTGATGCTAAATTTAAATTTAGTCGAGCTTCTACATGAATACCAAATAAATAAATAATAAATTTAGATAGACATTGATGTTCATCTTGATATTTTGATAGCTGGTTCACATATAACTATTTTTTATATTACTAATACCTGCATGATTCTACCATGTCCCTTTATCATCATATCCAACATCAATGGTGGATGATCCAAATGATCACCATATGCTATCCATTCCAACAAGTGATCTTTTTCTATCCAATCTTTCTTAAATGATATTATTTTAGGAATTATTAGTACATTTGAGATCGATCTTTCAATGGATATATCTTTCTAAAGGGTACCCAGTGTCCTTTAAGTCATTAAAATGGTCTTTTCTAATGATGAAAGGCACCAACACACAAAAGGAAATTGATTTTTGCTCCCACAATATAAAAGAGCATTAATTGGTGGGAAAAGGTATCATTAGTAGAATGTCAATTCACTAGACACAAACGTTTTTATGCCGCAAATTAATGAAAAATTTATGCTATCATCAAATCAGCACACTGAAAAACTATTGATCAAAAATAACTTTTTATTGAAATAGTAGAATATTTTTATAAATTATATCATACGAATTTTTATTTTTTTTTATCTGCCCGATTCAAGAAATTTCAAGAAAATAGTTTTTTTTTTTTTGTAGTCAGTGTATACTATCAAAAGTAAGATGAAAAGTTTCATTGGATCCTTAGAGAAGAATCTTTCACTTGGAAAAAGGTCTATCATGATGATATATTTTTTTGTTGCAAAGTACTTAATTACTTCTAATTATTTTATGAAGAAGCAAACTCTAGATTTAATTTCCACTTAAAGATTCAAAACATTCTAAAGTATCTGTTTCTTTCTTTTTGACTGAAATTAGCTATATAATCAGAGTATATTAAAAATCATTATTCTTTAATCCATGATAAAAAAAAAAACCCACTAAAATAATGAAGGCAAATACGTGGAGTACTAGACCAAAAACAAAAATCAAGCTGTTCCTAAATCGCATAGACTTAAATAATAGAACATGAAGGAATTGAGGGATCGGAGTTGGTTAGAATCATACAAATATTAATAATTAGAAGCGAATTCGTACATTTTTTTATGTATGTACATTGATTATACTTATATTTAGTTATTTCATCTTTTGTTCTACATAAAATAATACATAAATTTTCTCATAATTTAAAGGATGTTTGGATTGGCTTAAAAGTTGGTCAAACCTATTTTTAAGTCGGTTTTTGACTTTTCAAAGTGTTTGGCAATATATAAAATAACTTAAAATAAATATAAAAAAAGGACTTAAAATAAGTTAGAAAGTGTTTGACAAAGTTAAAAATGACTTTAAATAAGTTAAAAACTAAAAGTAGGTTTTCCCCTATTTATTTATTTTTTGACTTAATCCAAACGGGCTCTTATACATGTATTAGCTAGTTATGTGGGTTCTAAGTTGTCAACCTACGTCGTATTAATTTTATACATAAAAAAACGTATTTTCTATCTACCAACCAAACATCGTATAAATTATACAAAATTAATATATGAATAACTTGTTTCTTATTCAACTAACTACCAAACAATTTCTTAATGCTCTGATCACTATTTCAATTTGTTTATTATATTTTCTTCTTTTTAAGTATGTTTAAATAAAATGTCTTTATCCTATCTTTTCCTAATAACTTTTCAATTTTATTTTTTCACATGACTAGTACGAGGGGTAGTGCATATATGGTGGTGGTAGCCAAAGAAGAATAATTACAAGGACGTGAATAATTAGTGGAGAACAATGACATGTGAGTCCCTGACAAAAACACATATGCATGTAATAAGACAATATAATTGATCCAGAAATAGAAGCATCTATCTTATTAATTCATTTATAATTTATACTATATAGTATATATTTGGTGAAATTGACGATCAGTTTGCTAAATTGCAGCACAGATTCTCCATTTAATAACTCACTCACATGCTCAACACAGCCAACTTGTTGTCCATTTCCTTCTCTTCTTATTTTTTTTGCTACAGAAACATTCTGACTATACGTACTCCTGTCATCTTAATAATGTTCCTTCGATCATTATGTGTATTTTATTCTACCTAACGTTCTACCGCGGAATTAGAGTATTTTACGTTGAAATTTTATTTGAATATGTAATTTGAGTTTCTTAAATAATATTTTTTTTATATAAATATGAAAATGTCCTATTTTTTTGAAAATCTTATCACATATTATTATACAGTCTAATCAAATAAATACATTTGAGATCAAAATATTTTAAGGCGCCAAATTAATAAACCACATATTATCATGTTTTTTTTATAGATAAATATTTATAAGTATAACTTACATAAATCTTCTCATAGTATAAGACCTAAATTACATCCAATCTCTACTCTTTTCTATTTTTACAAAAATCCCTTAAGATATCAGTCATTCAGATACATAAATTTCATCCGAATACATTAATTGTGATACATTATAAAACTTGTCTATTGCGCTTAATATGGAACATTAACGTAAAAATTGATTTTCTTTCCCACAAATCACGTAGAACCGATTGATATCAAAACAATAATTTTACAATGACTAACTGATCCAATAAAACCAACAAATTCTTTCACATGATACAAACAAATAGTCTTCCCGTCGAATATGAGCCCTTGGTTTCGTTAACTTGTCACATCTATTTGTCTTACAAAAATGTGGACAAATATTCGTAAAATTCTTGTGTTATTTTTTTTCTTTACTTGCTTTATATTTAATTATGTTCTAGTTAATCACCATTATTCCGCGACACGGTTCATATGTACCTTTGTTAAATAAAATGTAATCGATCTTGCTCCTATATAAAAAACATAATAGATTTTGAAGTAGTACTATTTCTACATTTTCCTGACCAAAATGGTCTGGCAAAGTTAATTACGTACTCCAATCAATAATGTTTAATTTAGTTGGCCTACTTAAAAGTTTATCTCTCAGACTCTTTGATTGATAAAATAGAGACAAGATCTTGAGCTGGCTGTGGGCAACCCCTTGAACTGATTCATGTGATGCTGCTCTCAAATGTCTTTAAGTTGGGAAATTAAGGTGGTCAAAAAGGACCCAAGATTTTGAAGTGCAATTCTAACCTTTTTTTAGAAGGGTTGAGTTAGAATTATCATTGTTTGGAACTAAACAAAGGCCTAGATAGATGCATGACATGGAGTTACCAAACTAATTGGATTGAACAGATCAGTTTTTCTATGACTTAATAGGTGACTCTCATAGTTTTTTATTTTGGTATCCACATGAGAAGTTGGACTAATTCGGATTTGCACCATGTAAGAGCCATTTAGGAAAAGCAACTCTCTACCAAAAATTTTTCATGCCCAACATGATTTTCCCATTAATTTTCTATCGAATTAGGTTATTGGAATAATGCATGATGAAAATCACACTCACTAAAATAGTAAAAAAAATTCTATTTTTTCGTATGAAAACATTATTATTTCTTCTTTCTTCACCCATTCAATCAAAATATTTGTGAGAATAGTCATTGAACATTTTTCAATTGGAAATTTCAGTGGGAAAATAGTGATGTCTAATTAAAAAGGAGCAGCTTCATCTGCTATATTAAAGTCATAGTTAAGTAAATAAAAATATGATATTGCTAACATTTTATACTTTTAAATAGAAAATCTTACAAATTCAGTTGGTCGATACTACGTTTACCTTGATATGTCCCCTTCCCCTTCCCCTTGCCCATTTTTTTAGAAAATATAATGAATTAATCACATAACACAACAAGTCGGATCAAAAGAAGTTTGTATCTTCCCTCTTCAGATAGCTAGTAGTTTCAAAGTTTTTAACTTTGTATCATGCAAATTTACTATTCTAATTAAAATTCGAAAAGCAGATTGTACAATGCCGTCATAGTGAAGAATAAAAGCAAAAAGGGAAACTAAAAATCAAAATTGGCATCTAAGCAAGCTGACAAGAACAAATAAAAAGTTTAAGACATATGCTTAGCTATGATCTTGTTTTGGTTCTGTAACCATAACTGTTGTTCATCCGAAAAATCCTTCTGATTCACTGCACCATTTAACATCTGATCACTACTTGGAAACGTCCCAAACGGATCGGAATTCAAGTCATTCTGCACTGCTGATGAAGAATTCTGACCACTAAATGTTGGTGTTGCTTGAAATGTAGGCAAAGGTGTTGATGGCGTTGCAGGCAGCTGCTCTGTCGATATGTCTTGTAAAAACGGATTGTAATGGTTGGCTACTGGAATTTGATTATAGTTATTCATATTAATATTTGGTTTTAAGCCACTAATTGGAAGCAATGTTGATGAGTTCTGATTATACAATTCGTCCAAGTAGGAAGAATTGAAGTTGTTAGGGGTAGTAGGCATAGGTTGTGATGCTGTTGTTTGTGGGGTTGTTTCAAATGATACCATATCCCAACCACTATTTGCACCATTTCTTGATACTTGTTCCGGTTCTTGATTTTCTTGGAAGGCATTGAAAGATGGCAATGTGGAAGTGTTGTAGCTGTTAATGTTGTTAGCAACAGTATTAGGCATGGATTGAACTGAATTTGTTTGTGGGATTGCTTCAAATAGTGCCAAATCCCAAGCATTGCTCGAAGAAGTCTTAACAGGCGATGTTTCATTTCTTAACACCTCTTTTGGATCTTGTTGTTCTTGAAAGGCGTTATTAGATGTTGATGATGGCGTTAAAGCCTCATTTAGTACATCTTCCCATCCTTTAGATGAACTTGAACTTAATGTAGGCTTTTGTTTATCCTTGATCTGTTCTTGTTTAGGTTTAGCTTCTTTAGAGTTAAGTTCTTTCGCTTTCTCAACAACAGGTTGTTGCTTCTGATCTTGTACTTGTTCGTATTCGTTGTCAATATTTCCATTATCTTCTGATAAAGAAACAAGATCAATCATGGAAACTGGCAATGACCTTGCAGAACCTGTATCACATATATAATCAATAAACTGCTTCTTGAATCGAATATCTGAATAGGCCTCCAAATCGATTGAAATGGCTGGGCTCCTCCCTGTTACCGTGGCTCTTATTAGATCTTCTAGTGAACTACAAGGTGAACCATTCCCAGACATAGTTGGACTTCTGTCCGAATATGGCTCACTCGATGCAAGAGAGAATTCGGATTGTCCACCGTAACTATCAAACCTACTTCTTGATGACCTCATTGAGCCTGGTCTTTGAAGAACTACATCTCCTGAAGATTTCACTGGAAATGAAGATTGATCCTTGAGAAATTCTTGTAATGACTCAATTAACTCTTCTGTTATAATTTGCACACTCGGATACTCTGATGTCCTGCCTACACCAATGCTTTTACATAATGAATAGAACGAGTTGATCTCCTCGAATTGCTTCGTGGATTTAACACATGTTTGGAAGGCATTTACACATGTTTGGTATGGTAAATGAAAAAAACTATCAAGAACAAGAGTTAGTCCATCAGATATATCTTTGTAAAGATCAAAACTTTCTTGTACCACAGCATACAAAGCAGCTTGTACTAGACAATTGGTTTGGGCTGCACCTGTTGGCCTTGTAGCAATTGCCCTTTCAAGCAATCTTTGCCAATATGAAATCTTGTCAAGTAGCATTGGTGGTTTCATTTCGCGTATTGCCTCATTTGTCCTGTTTCTGCTCCTGCTCCTGCTATTATCACTGCAACTCCGTAAATAATTGGAATTTTCACGGTCATTATAGTTGCATCTCTTTTGGAGTTTCCCCGTGAGAAAACAATCCAAACGCTCGTCAAGATAGAGTGCAAACGTTCTAATAAAGGCGGTGAAATCCCAAGGGCTAGAGTTTGAATCATCGCGAAAATTTGAAAGGTTGAGAATCTTGGCACCACGTTTCATGGCGTGGAGGACTTCTCGAGGGAAATAAGGATCACCATCTTGGAAGATTCTAAGGACAAGTATTAATGATTTGAGGGCAACGATCCAATTCCTAGTACGACCAATGCGTTTGCCAATGGCACGAGCACAGGCAGCCGCATAGGCCTTGTTGGAAGAAACTAATTGGACAACCTCGTGGATGTAACGCTCATCCACGGGTACATCATCGTGTGTTGTGGCTTTTAGGACAGCAACTTCAAGAGTTGAGGAAGTGTTAGTGGAAACTTTGGCAAGGCTAATGCTGGTTTGATCTTTCACTGCAGCAATTGCCTTCTTTAGCTTGCTTGGCATGTTAGTCACTCTAATAAATTCTTTACCAAAAAAAAAGGTGACTCTTTTTTACGAACAAAAGAAGTACCTCACCTCACATACGAAGAAGTTATTAAAACTATGAAATCCTGATTTTTTAATTTTCTTTATCAGAGAGGTCTGATCACATAAGAGATTGTTCTTTGATAGTAATATTGATTGATGACAAGATTTGATGTTTTAGAGGAAGAGGAATATTTTGCCTAGCTATTGTCAGATCAATTCCAATATATTCTTTAATGGAATACGGAACATGCAAAATTGCAGCTATTAGGAATGAGCGATAATTTATGACTAAAAGCGCCAACTATCTGTAGGATTGGAAATGTCAATCGACGAGACGAAATTAGTCTAGAAGGCAGTTGAATTTTTTTTTCCCTCTTCCTTTGAATCAGTCATTGCTTTCTGTTTCAGAAGTGAGAAATGAGAGAATGCCCATGAGTTTCTCTCAGTTTAGTTACGAAATTTTATCACAGCCATGATTATGAAAAATACATAGAATGAAACTCATACACTAATTTTTTCGATTATAGACCTACTTTGAATCATGAAGCATCTATCTAATATAAAAATAATACTAGTAATTATTTAGTACCATGACTTTCTTTATATAGGAAGGTATGAAAATCGAGGATTAAGATAAAAGATTAATAGGTAGTTGAATGTGATCCCCGTTAGATTAGAGGTAGGGAGGTTGTCCCATATCCTTTCTCCTTAATAGGTACTACTATCTAATAATCACGTAGTTTCTTATTTTTTTTAGGTGTTTCTACTATTTGTTACTTTATTTTACTTTGTATCTTAATACTTGGAATCTCTCTATTCCTTTATGAATTAAGCCTTCATTTAAACATTCCCCTAGAATCTAGGGCTGGACTGAAAAGTTAAACTCTATAATTGGGTTCAGCAAAATAAGCCCATATGAACTAGTACTCATTGCCAATGGTCAGTGATACTAGCCCACAGGGGGTAAGTTCACAAATGACCCTAAGAGGGGGGTGGTCTTGATTTTTTGGCTCGCGTAATACTTATTTTAAAAAAATAACCGTTATTTCAGAAATATTCACTAGGCAAAGCTTTTGTTGTCCATTAAGCATAATTTGTGAGCATAAATCAATTATGCCGATAATTTAGGAATTCAGGATATTTTAAAACAGTGAACATGTTCAATTAATTAACCACAAGTTCTGCTTTATAGGTAAAACTAAAACTTATGCTTGGATGGACAACCAAAATTCTTCCCAAGAACGAGTAGTTATCCTTCGTTCGAATAGTCTGAATGTTTTCGTATAGATTGTTTCAACTTTTCATGGCCCCCAAGCATATCCTAATAGAAAACCTTTTGAATTGTCTAACTATTTGTTGGTTAAACAGGTTTGACTCATTTAACGGTTGATTGTTATCTTCTCTACGCTTGTCATGTGTTCGAACTAAATGTCTTTGATTCCAAATATATTTTTACCAATACAACCTAATTTTACATGTAAGATATATTACTTATAGTCTTATATATTATAGTAAGGGAAAATTGTATATAATAACAAACTATTAATTTAAATTAAATGCTATAACCATAGTTTGATTTAATTGTACTCCATAGCAAATTGTTGTTATTTCGCCTCTCTCCTCCTGGTGAATCTCGCTTGCCACTCTCGTTCTCGCTGGCAGTCCCCCTCGCCTCTCTCGCTTTTATACAAACACAAATGTATAAAATGCGTTTGTGTTTGTATAAAGCAAGAGAAAATTGTATATATACATATATTTTCGTTCCCCTCTCTACCCTCTCCTAGATCTCGCTCGCCACTCTCCTAGATCTCACTCGCCTCTCTCACTCACCTCTCTCACTTTATACAACACAATACATTGCGTTTATGTTTGTATAAAGTGAAAGAAAATTATATATACAAATACAAATGTATATATTTTTGTCCTATACACTTATGATTATACAAATACGATCTTCCCCTGCCCAATTTTCTTTTGTCTTTCTCTCTTTCTCGCTTTATACAAACACAGATTATACAATTGATCTTTTGTACTCCCTTTGTCCCAATTTATGTGACTTACTTTCCTTTTTAGTCTGTCCAAAAAAGAATGACACATTTCTATATAAGTAATAATTTAACTATAAAATATCTATTTTTACCCTTAATGAATGATTTAAACCACACAAATTTCTATCATTCATTTTGGACCACAAGTTTTAAAAATCTTTCTTTCTTTCTTATACTCCGTGCCGAGTCAAACTACTTCACATAAAATGGGACAGAGGGAGTATATGTATACCGAAACAGAGGGAGTATACCTATACCGAAACAGAAACAGATTATACAACTGTTTTCTTTTGTATATGTAATAGCGAAATATACATATTTATGTTTGCTATGGAACTCAATTATGCAAACTATAGTTATAACATACAAATATGATTTTTATGCTTGCTATATGTGAAAGTTGCTCTTTTAGTAATTATATTTTTCTTTTAATACACAAAATTAGGATATTTCCAAACTTTTCTCCCGGTGACAAATCAAACTCAACTAAAGCCACATACAATTTGACCACATGAATTATAGTCCACATTAATATGGACCCTTGCTCGACCATCGATAACTCTAATTTTGAGACAATAACACATGAAACAAATGTCCCATTTGTATTAAGATATTTCAATTTATTTTTTGTATTTTACCTATAATTCAAATGGTGTCATATTTTATTCTAAATTGTGGTCTTAAATTAATTTATACAAAGTATATATTCTGTTAGTTTGTTATCAAATCTAATGCTATATTTAAATTTAATGAAAAACTTTGTAAGTAGAGTGAGTGATTAAATTAGTAATTGCATCTTTAAGAATTAAGACAATATTTATTATACTCGTAGAAAGAATCTCTTCTTATTTTTATTCTTATTCTTATTCTTACTAGGTAGGTGAAGTTTGGATTTTCCATTGTTATTACTATTCTTTCTCCTTTTTTTTTTTTTTTCATTTTTACTCTCTCCCTCTTAGTAAACTACTAATATAGGATCGTAATTTATTATCACATTATTATTTTAAGAATTCTTAGTAAAGAGCACAAATGTTTGACTTGAAAAAGACAACTTAAAGCTTCTTTCTAGAAACAAAAAGAAGTCACAATTGCCTCGTTGCGTTAAACGCGGTGAATATTTTACACCATAATAATATTTGGATTATGGCTACCAAGATAATTACACTGGCATTGGCCAGCCATAAAGTTCTCAGAGAAGTATTTTATAGTTATTCTTCTATCTTAAATTTTAAAAGCGATCTATAAATTTGATATTTGTCTGGTGGTAAATCATTTTATCAAGGTAAAAAAATAATTTAAAGCTAAATTGTTTCTAATTATAGAAAAGTAACATTTTTTTTGGACAGACTAAAGAGAAAAGTATATCACATAATTTGAGACAAAGAGATTAAGCAAAAACACAAAATGAATCCATTTCTTATTGTATACATCAGGTTCAATTGCATATACAGGCCTTCCAATTTCTTGTGATATGACTATCAAATTTTAAAGATCAAAATATCACAATATATTAATAAGAGAAGATAAAAGATGAATGAGAGAATGTGAAGTGAATAATAAGAAATCTTATTTAATGTTGATGAAACTCACAATTCTATGTATCAAACTAGACATGATAATACATTTAAAATTTAGAACAAAGATTCCTTCATGTGAAAAGCTAATAAAATAAAATAAAAATTAGAGTTCACCCTTTATGGGCGAACTCTTTAAAATATTTGTATTTTATGTTACAGTGGAAGCAAGTGAATGTTAGCCTTGATAAGAGATGGTTGGCTTATTTGTGAGCGAAGTATCTATTTATTTGTATTTTTAGAAAAATATATCTTTCGATATATTATGTCAAAAAAAAATCCAACTTGAAATTAGACACTATTGCAAGATATTTTGACAAAGATGGTAACATTAGTCACCTTTGTTTCCATCGTAAAAAGAACGATTTGGAATTAAAACCAATTTTTTAAAATTCAAATTATTACTTCCCCTACTACTTAAATAACAATAAGTGAAAATGAATACCTAAATTTCAATTTTGCACTCAATTAGTGATATATAAAATGGAAAAGGAGGTGAATTAATGTAAATGTAATGATGAAAAAAAAAAGGGGTTAAAGTGACAAATCCCAATTTGAATTTGATTTTTTTATATAGGAATATGCAAACAAAGTCATTGTGATTGCGGTAATTTATTACTTTTGTTATATATTTTATTTGACTTTTAAAATGGAGATATTTTAGAATTGGCAAGAAATTCTTAAAAAACATAAACTTTAATAAAGTAAAGTACAAAAAAACGGAATAAGGAAATGTCAACTAATTAAAAAGCTTTGAGCTGACTTCATGGCCAATTATTTTCTCTCTTTAAGAAAAGTAATCTCTTAAAAAGAAGCTCTAAATGACTTTATTTTCTCCCAAAAATTCACACTTTTTGTGTCCATATATCACATTTTCAAGCATGCAATACTCCTTTTTTTTAAAAGAAAAAAAGAAGACAACACTACGTGACCCTTTTACTTTGTCCTAACGAACATATAAATTATGATACTTAAAGAAAGTAATATTTTAAAAAACAAATAAATTGAAACATTCTTAAATTCGGCACAAATTATTAGTTTCATGTTCAAACTATTGACAACCTTAAAAACATTCATTTATTACTAACTGGACTTAAATACACTATTAATCTTGCATCATGAGTGAAATACACACCTAAATTCTCGTCAAGTTTAGAAATGTATTCAACACTTCTCTCGATTTTTTATGTAGAGTTTCATACTCCTACAAAAGTTTGAGATCATTTCCTATGTTGTGTGGTAGATTGGGAGTGTATCTAAGTTTATTTAAATTCTAATATTTAGAAGTTAAAATTGTGTTTCACATGTATTCTTCAATTTTGAAAGATTAAGAGATAAGTATCAAAAACACATCTAAACTATCCCTTTTTTTTTAGTTTCATACTTAAACTATCACTTTTTAGTTTGAGAAACACACCTCAGTGGTGAGTGTAATGCACTCTCTCTTTTATTTGAAAAAACCTTGACACATGACATTTCACATGGATAAAATATTTCACCTTGACAAAAATTAAATAACAAACTGTTAATATTAATTAAAAATTAAAGATTAAAGTATTACTATCCATAAAAAAATATATTTTTTAAAAAATAAAATTTAAATTATTTTTTTTACCCCACTCCACCACCTCCTCCAGGTACCCTCAACAATTTCCCAATTTCTTTTATAAAATATTTTTAAAAAATCCATACTTCATCCTCCCCCAAAAAAAATTGCTATTATTTTATTTTTTAAAAAAAAATAAAAATTCTACTGCATCCTATTTTACCCTATGCTCGTAATTTTTATTTTTATTAGTGTACGAATATAACATAAATAAATAAAAAGAAGTCTTGTGGCGGCAAGTAAAAAATATTTTTGATATGCATATATCTTACACAAAATGAGAAAAAAAAATTGGAAGCGGAGGGTTAGGTAGGGTGGGTAGAATTTTTTTTAAAAAACTAAAATAATATCTAAATTAGTATTTGGGGGGGGGGGGGGGGGAGATGAAGTAAAAAAAATTAAATACTTTTATAAAAGAAATTTAAACAAAAAAAAAAATGGCCGGGGGTGGGGGTGGGAGGTGAGAGGAAGTGATGGAGTGGGGTAAGAAAAATATTTTACATTTTATTGTATAAAAGAAATATTATTTTTTGAATAATATTTTTAAAATTTTTAATTTTAACTAATACTAATAATTTATTTATTTTTTGTCGAGGTTGAATGTTTTGTTCATGTGGAGTGTGATATAACAATTTTTTAAAATAAAAGAGAGTGTATTACGCACACCATGATGAGAGTGATATAAAAGAGAGATGAGTGTTTCTCAAACTAAAATGTGATAGTTTAAGTATGAAACTCACACTCTCAATAGTTTAGGTATGAAATTCAAAATAAATGTATAGTTTAAATGTATTTTTGACACTTATTTCAAAGATTAATCCATTATATAATCAAACGCTACTTTTTATTATTTTATTTTTGTAGTAAAACAATTCATGTTCTAACGGGACCTAGCTAAAGGTAATATTTTGGTGAGCCAAACTATTTGAAGGGGGGAAAACAAGAAAGTAACCTTTTAATTTATAATCCTTAATTTGGAATATCTAAATTGTAACACAAAAAGTTTTTCTTTTTTAAAAAACTAATAAATAAATATAAAGAAAAGTAAAACAAAGTTCAACTTATGATGCCTGGCAACTGGCGAAGGCTGGATAAGTAGAGAAATGATTTCAAATCATAATTTCAAATTATAATTTATTTGTATATACAATTTAATTTTTTGAAATAGCGTTTTTGTGCTCATAAACATGAAAACATCAATTTATGATAACAATTAAAACATATCCAATTCTTATACAATCTTAGCAAATAAGTAAATCATAATTTATAAATAACGGAAGAAAATATCTTAATGCAATGCATTAACAAATCACATATCTCCATATCTTTTTTATAAATAAATATTTGTTATCAAAAACTTTCAAATACACATAATTTTATAAAGATTCATTCGTCCAATAAATCAACAATACTTTAATATTAATAACTAACTATTCTTTAATATGATTTTCTCACATGGTACAAACAATCTCTTCACGTTGATCATATAAACTTATGGATCATTCTTTATATTTTAAAAAATAAAATCATAACTTGAATAAACTTTATTTAAAAATTAAAGTTGAAATTCTATTCCTATCTCATAATAAATAATTTAAGCGTCAAATCATATAACCAAGACCAAACGTTTTTTCAAAAAGTAAACGTATTAACAATGACTTTGAAAAAGTCAAATTCATGAGGTATTGGAGAAAATATCAGTCCACATATTAGCCATTGTCAATGGGGACAGAGAGTGGAGTTATATGTAACTTCAAATTTCACATAGTAGCTGTTATTTTTTTAATAGTCCGCAAATTATGTAAGAGAAGTAAATTCTATTAGACAAGCCTGTGGGACGAGCTCCATCGAGAAGATATATAGGGATTTCATATCTATTATAGAGATCTCTTGCTCAATCAACTCAGTCATCCTTCTGTATGAAAGTTCAAATTGAATCCTTTAAATATTTAATTAAGTGCATTTTATTTTTTAATTACTACACTTTTGACACCTTTTAATCACAAATGTTCAATATTATTGGCAATAACTTCTCCGTTTTATCAATTAATAACAACCAGAACAAATATTATTTATATGGTATGCTAGACTCCAAATGAAGGTAGCAATATGATTTCTCGTGGGATCCATTACTTTTTTGCTATTTGTTGTAAGCAGTTCAGAACTGTACGAGGTATTCTGGTACGTGAAATAAGAATAATAATCTCAACACATGATTTTGAAATTAATTTTATCCCATATTCGATTGAAGTATTAACTAATTCTGAAGTTATTTTATCTTATATTTGTACTAAAATGATGGAATCACTATCTCGAGAGATATCCAATCTATGAAATATTCTTTACTTATTTCATTCCGCGTACGAAACGAACCCTAAAATTCAAAGGCCATCATAGTCTATTCTTCTGGCTGGCGAGACTTTGATGTAATTTATTGCAACACGCAGACTATGGACTTTTAAAGGTGGGGGACGGATGAACTATAAATGTTGAAACATTTAAGTCAAAAACTTGGACAATTTCATTCATTTTAGCACACACAAATATTAAGTCAAATATACCCACATTTTTAAAATAACCTTTTTTCTTGCAAGAAATTTGGGACATTTTGGAACAATATATGGCATTTCATGGCTGGCAACAGATTACGTACACGCTTGAATGACATTTTGAGTAAAATTTGTTAACTAGTCCGAGATTTCTTAGTAATTCAGTTAGATGATTACTTGAACTTTCACCGATGGCTCGATTCACCATGTAATCTCTTTCTCTTACGTACAAGGAAAGAAACAGAAAATAATATAAAAGTGACCTAGTTCTTATAGGCCCATTATATACATTGATGTGATTTTCAAGAAAGCTTCAAAAGAAGCAGAGAATTATTCTGCATAGAAAAAGAATAAACTTGAATTTGAAGTATGTAATGTAACCCTAGCAAGTACCAGGCCCATGATACCCTAAATTATAAAGGGGGAAGTGAGGAAATCATTAACTGCCAAAGTTTAAGCGGGAAGGAACAATACAAGAAGAAAAAAAAAGTAGAAAATAATGAAAGGACTCACAGGAGAGAGAGAGAGGACAAATGCTAAGCTTTACAGCTTGCAAAAGCTTTGGTATATTGCAGTTGCTTTAAAGGGATATGTTTACAGCAAATATGACAACACCACTCAAAAGGCCAAAAGTCTCACCCTTTCCTTTCTCCTCTTTATCCTCACAGTATCTGATTCATCTCTCCATTGGCCATTCTAGTGTTTCAAACAAGAAGAATCAACCAACCCCCCAAAGAGACAACTTCACTACTTCAAATATGATTTGGATTGTTATAATGTGTATTTGATGCATGCAATATTATCTTGTAATAGTGGTGTATTCAATCCAGTTTATACACACTTAGGAAGTTTTGGGGAGTGGGACAAGGTAGGCAGGCAGGGCATGTGAAAGAGAGAGATGATGAAATGGATTAGACATAGAATGTGAGTCTGTCCCACCATTTTCCATAGACAATCTAACCATATAAAATATGACCCCCATTATATTGATTGGATTTTTCTAATCTTAACACTTCCCTCTTTCCATGTGATGTTGTGCTGTAAACGGTCCCCTCTATTGTCCTATTTTAAACCCCTTTATTAGTTTCCTTCTCCTGCCTGCACCTTCCTCATTACACCTTCTCCAACTTCTTTTTTTCCCATGAGAAAGCACATTGGGACCCCCTCCTTCCTTTACCGATAATCATGGCCACGACATTTGGAGCTCAGTTTCCCTAAAAATCTACCCACAGTCCAAGTGTACATACTTTAGAACCCCCTTTTTACACCAACCACCAAAGAATTAAACTAACCTAAAAATGTTATCTTGGCATGACCAAAGGGATTATTATAAAACAATTCACCAACTGCATTATATAGGAATCAATTCCAGCAACCGCCCTAAAAGTTTAGCTTTATGTGAGGGTTATAAGCCATCTGTTCTGTCTTTAACAATAATAAATACTAACAATGTAAAAATCAACCGGCAAACTGACCATAATTCAAGCCGCACCAAAAGGGTGTCAATAACAAATGTAACAAGTATATGAAAAGAACATAGTACCAATAAAGAGAAGATAAATTTAAGAGACAAGTTGCACACTTTGTAATTAAGGCTTGGCCATTACAAGAAAAACAAACCTTTGAATATACAATATCAACCGATGCCTAGGATGGGGAAAAAAGGGGGGTGGGGGTGCAAGCACTATCTATTATCACTCACTTACAAAGCTTCACATGGTGAAACAAAAACATTAAAAAAAAATGGAGAAAAAATAAACAAACAAGGATACTCCCTAAAAACCGCATCCATGCCATGTGTTATATAGTTTAGAATAAATTCAACTTTCTTTTTTCTTCTTTTCTTTTTCTAATAATTGAAAACAATATAGTATAAGGTTAAAGTTGGGGTATACCGAGTGTGTGATTGTTTGTTGGTTTCTTTGAAGGAAATGAGTTGGTTTTCCACATTTGACAGTTGGGAAAAATCCAAACAACCACCTGCAGGAAGCATCATAGGTACGATAATGTCAGGAAAAAAAGATTAGTGAATAAAAGCAAGAATTTCAAGGCAGCTAAGAGTAAAATGGACTTAAAGTAGCACTAATGATCATCACGTGTAATCCAGTCAGTTAATGAGATAGTAGTAAGCCTAACAACAAAGACACTTCTGATGGATGATGGACCAGCAAAGCAGTGCATCAATGCCATTCATATCCAAAGACAGAATAATAAAAGTTGAGAATCATGCCCCTACTCAAGGACCAAAATTTTTATCACAACTCAGTATGGCCCATTGCAAGCATTTGGATGTCTAGCGTGTTTCACTACAGAGAAGAGGAAAATGAACTGCTTTAAGGTTGGACAGTTAGGATTTCTAATTATAGTCCACCAACTTCTACTCAATGGCAAATGACTTGGTCTTGATGGTAGTCTACAATCTACTAGTCTAAGGAAAATAGTATCATTTGAATGTATGAAAATGACTAGGCCTAGGAGTCATATCAAAAACTCATCATCTCATGCTCCCCCCTTACTTTTAAAATGATTAGGTAAAAAAAATACAGTTTTTACAAAATCATTACTTTTTTTGAGTAAAAGAAGCCCAAAATACTATCTTGTTTCTCTTTTGGAGGGGAAGGGTGGTCAAGAACTATAATGAGTATGAGCCACTAGACAAAGAAGTTTAATATCTTAAACTAGATGATTAAAGTTTCAACTTGATCTTCTGATTTGCGAAAAAATGTGTACTTTAACACATTGTTAGGCATATTAGTTCCCACTCCTCTTCCCCTAGCAAAGAGGATGCTGGGGGGCCTCGCCTTCTTACTCTCTCGAGCAAGCGACTGCACCTTCATTCACTACAGACCCAAATTAATGAGAAAATGACTTGTTAAGGGGATTTAGATCAAGCATATGAGCATGGGCATTCTTGTCTTGAAAAATGGAAGGCAAATTAAGGAAATAATACAACATTAACATGTCAAATTGGAATGTTGTTGACGGGTAAACAGTAGGAACCATTAATGCCATGTGGAATAAGTTAATAAAGAATCGAAGTGCCAAGTAAATACGAGTTCTACATAATTAAAGATGTTATGTAAAAAATTACCTTTTGTTGGCGGGGTTAGTTGCTTTGCTAATTACTCCATGTCCTTGTGAAAATGCTCTTTAGCCTATTGCCTGAGAGTCTTTGCAAGGCCTTTTTTGCCCCAGCAACCTCCGCCTCCACCAGCTTCTGCAAATGGCCGTATGCTCCGGCCTCCACTAGTCGCTTCCGACAACCCTGGCTCCCTCCTGCCATGATTGCCGCCACCACTGCCACTGGGAACTTCTTCGAAATCGCATCGTTCTTGGCATCCAACATTTGGACCAACTTCATCACACTCTTCTCATCCTTAACCAATTCCTTCCTATTCGACTTCACAGCCAACAGCGAAACTAACGCATTAGCTGCCACCTCTTGCAGCCCATCTGGTTTAGCTGATTCCATCAGCTTCACCAAAGACCCCATGCACCCAGCAATAGCCCTCTTCTTTTCTTCGCTGGTTGTTACATTTGCAAGCAATGAAGCGGAAATGTATTGTAACATTAAGCTACCATGCTTTATAAGCTCGGCCAACTGAATAGTAAACGTGGGATATGATGAAAGAATCCTTGACGCACAATCAGAAGAAGATAACGAATGAATTGCCCGTAAAACATATTCTAATGTATCAGAACTTGATGATTCATAAAGCAAATGAACCAATCTCTGCAACCCCTTTTCTTGAATTAACAAATCCCGATAGTACTCACCAGATGAAGCAAGAATCGCAATGCAATTTGCTGCCTTTTCTTGTGCTGATGGTTTGCCTGAAACCATTAACTGTAAAAGAACAGGAATTGCACCTTCTTCCGCTAACGCAATTCGAACATCTTCATTTGTGGAAACATTCTTGATAGCCCCAACACCATGAAGTTGTGCAGCAACCGAACCAGATTTACATAAGTCCAGAAGTACAGGGACACCACCATAAGCTGAGATTGCCCAAGCATTATCAGGGTCATTTGTGATGCATTCCACTGCCAAGACAGCTCTTTCCTTCATCGTAACCGAACCAGACTCAATGATTCTCAGTAAAGGACCCAAAGCACCCTCTTCAAACACGCATTTCCTTGCCTGTTCGCTCATGGAAACAAGCATTGATACAGCAAGAACTGCCTGTTCACGTATAGAAGGATCCGTATTAAGGTCAAGTAAATTAATCAAGTACCCAACTTGTCCTTCTTTTGCAACAAGACCAGCTGATTTTTCATCCTCAGAGAGCAGCTGAATCAACGATTCCAAAGCCTTTCTCTTGAACTCAACTCCGCCGATCTGAATTCTAGTAAACACATCTCTAATATAAAGAACTAAATCGTCTTTGGTAGAGTTAGACGAAGGGTGAGAGAGAACAATAGCAGTAGACTGACGTAGCACACCGGAACGGCAAAGAAGGTCGAGATGATGGATCTGCTTAGACAACCACCCAGAAGCCATATCAAGGTCCGACTGCATCAGTAGCTTACCCGGAGTCTTCTCCGGGTCAGAACATTCCTCACATAGAGTCTGAACACGAAGCAAAGTGGAAAGAAGATTAGGCAGCAAGGTCGGAAGTAGCTCATTTTCCGACCAGTGAGGAGAATCAGATATTTCCGTCAAAAGCGACTTAACAGTAGCAAGCTTCGACCGGAGCACCTGCCAGCGAGAAGTAAAAGACTTGATAGAAAGAGAAAATGGTAGTAAATGAGAGAGAAGCTGGTTGATTTGGTCAAGGGTTTGTGCCGTAGACGGCTGCTGAGCTGTTGGTTCGCCGGTACGATGCATTTTCTTTGAAAAAAACTCAATTGGGTGTCAATGATTTCCAGTCCCCGGAACTAATATCGGGAAAAACTAAGAAAACATATGAACTGCAAGAGAGGGAGCAAAACTATGGGGTTTGGAGAAATTGAAGATTATGGGAAAGAGGGAAATTGGGGATAGTGATAAATTGCGTAGAGGGGAAGATAAAGAGAGAGAAAATGGTGATAAAGCAATGGAGAGAAGTGGGGTTTTAGGGAGAAACAGAGAGTGGTGTTCTCGGTTCGGTTGGTAGTTGGACGTGGGCTATGAACCGGGGAAGACGGTGACAACTGAACAACAATCTATCGTGACTCATTATATCTTTATTTACCGCTTTAATAAATATACTAATGTATTTAGCTGCTCATTCGGAGGAAAGCGTTCTCTACGGCCCGAAATTTTTGATATATATATTTATCTATTGAAGCTGATCAGATTATGATTAGTAATTTAACGAAAATCAAAATTTTAATATCAAATCATAGAAAATTAATTTGATAGGATATAATAATTCTAAAAACCGGGAATTAAACTTTTCAATTCCGTATTAACCCCTACTCCGGTTTCAATCAAACACAAGTAAGGAAAAGAGAGAGAAAAGGGTATATATGAATTATTACTATTTTTAGTTACTTTTAGCATGACTTTTTTATTATATTTTTTTTATATTACATTTTTTATATGTGCTACATGAGTTGAGGTTCCTTAGAAAATAATTTTGATACACAAATACTACTCTTTCCATTTGTGAAGTATACTCAATATGTTATACTTATTGTTAAATAAATAATTTGGGACAACTTATAAAATGTTTAAAAGACTTCAATAGGTCATATTTGGGTTCTAAAAAAAAGGTTTGAAACTATTTTTGTAATTTTAATATTTTGATTTTTAAACTCTTCAAAAAAAAAAAAGAAGATATATTCTATTATAAAAAAAATTGATAGTTGAAGACAAAAAAAAATCAAATTTTATGTTCAAACGGGAGCATTCCACATCAGTCCCTAACAAAAATAATATTATATTTATGATTCAAAATTAAGATCTTTGATTGAAATAATATTTGTTATTCTAAGATAATCTTTAAATTTCTTATTCAAACAATTAAATAAATTCATATAAATTAAAATAGAGTAAGTATACCTTAATTAAATCTCGATTTTGGTAGCAGAATAATTGATGTTGACTCAATTTTTTGAATAACGACTTTCTGACTTTCTATGGTCTATAATATCCCGTGATAGCAGTGTAATACCAAAATAATCATGGTTCTAGACTGTTATAGTGAACTACACAAATAGGAATTAATTAATTTACCACGTTATAAATGAACGAATAAACAACTATTTACATGCATGCACCTGTTTTTTTTTTTCACCGATTAAATCTAAATTGCATATTACAAATTTATTTGGAGGGAGCGCTCCAAATAAAAAAATAATTATATATATTTAGCGCTCAAATCGTATGCCTATAATTAACGGTGGAGCTTGTTAACCATATGCATGCACCTGTCATTATCATCTTCCTAAACTTTCCTAAAACTATATTTTGTTGGTACGCAATTCTTCGGGAACATTTAATATTTGCACAAATATAAATAGTCTTTAAGATAAAATAAAAAGTAATACTGATATTTTTATTATTGAGTTATTAATCTTGATATAACTTGAACATTAAAGTTATGACTATTTTATAGCTATACGATCAAAGAATAATATAGTGAAGATTAGTTATCTTAATAATGAAACTGAAAATTTTTCTTTAGGTTCCTCAAATTCTTTTTATACGAAAAAGATGGAAGGTATTTTTATAAACAAACAATTTCTTTTTAGAAATAATCAAGTAGAATCTTCTAGTTATAATCTTTTACGAGTATGTAGAATTCCAACAGGTGCTCTAAGCTATTTCGATTTTGCAAAAATGTATCAGCGAATTTTCACTAAGAAGGTGAAAAATAAAGTATTCAATCAACTGAACTATTAAAATTTTTACAATAAAATTTATAGTTACGGAGTTTGTTAAGTAAATGAATTTATATTTTAAAAAAAGAAAAAAAAATATATAGTAAGACAAACATGTCCTATATATGTATTTACTATATACAATCATAGTCTAAAGAATTACATTACATAACTATATTAAGAATTTTATAGAAAATCTCTCTTCTCTCTCAAACTCTTGCTCGCCTCTTGCCTCTCCTCTTTCCCTTTCTCATCCTCTCCCTCTTTATATCTCTTCCTGAAATGATCAAATGTAATAAGCAACAGAGGAAGACCTCTTTTCTTTCTTTTCTCCTCTTCGATTTCATACTCATATTCTCCGTGTGTCTGAATGAAGGAGAAATACAATATTGTACCAATTGTATTCTAATAGAGTATATAACATATGATACAAATGTATAACAAGGACAAAATACAATTGAATACATTAATACAAATCTCTAGTCAATTGCAAATACACTCAAATAGATTGATAAAAAGTGATTGTGCAAGGAACATATCCACTTGATACATTTGTACCCACTGATATAAGTTGATACAATTGTATTCCTGATACAAGAATATACAAATAAAAGATGTGTTCATCCTCTCTCTAGCCTCTTTCCTCCCTCTCTCGATCTCTCACTCCTCTTTCCTTCTTCTAACAAGTGAATATGAATCATTATAAAACAAACTATAACTATGGATCTCTAATCAAGCCCAAACTATAGTCATTTTTTAAAAGTTTCTAAAAAAAAACGTATACAAGTCGAACTTCTGAAGACTATTATAGTTGAGACTCCAAAACGTTATGCTGAAATTCTAAATTTATACAAGTCAAACTTCAAATTAAAATCTAGAATAATTATGAACTTAACATTTCGTTCAATTAATTTATAAATATGTACATAATATATGAGTTATATATACTTTATACAAAATACACATACACTATATGTATATATATATATGTGCTATACATATGCTATACATATGCTATACAAATAATAACTATGACTATACATATACTATACAAATAATAAAATATACATATACTATACAAATTATAAAATATACATATAATATACAAATAATAACAAGTTATGTCGAATTTTTAAAATTATTCTTAAAATGCTAATTATATTAAAAAAAATAAAAGAGTCTTAAAAGTAGATATAATGCGAAAATCACCCTTCAGACTCGATAGAAAAAAATGTGGTCGAATTTGGTACTTAGCTTGGGCTGTGAGAAGTGTAGTAGTAAAATGCATTGGGCCTAGTCCAATATTCAGCCCAACCCAAATAGGATATATGCAAAATAAAGAACATTATAATAGATGCAAATTAATTTGAAAATATGACCTGGTTATCATTTTTGTAGATACTTTTTTTTTAATATAGATGCAAATTAATAAATATTACAATCTAATAATATTTTCAAAAAATGAAACTCTCCTATTCTTCGTTCTTCTTTATTTTTTGTATGGAATTGATATTGTATTGTTATAGTAGAATGAACATTGGTTATAGTGTTTGATGGTGAAATAAATGTATCTCTAGTGCATATATACTGTTTTTTCTTAAGTATGTATGGTGTATATTATTATATATCTTATGTATCACATCATACACACAAGTCATATACGACTTAAAAGTACATGCAGCGATATACAAGTGTGTATATCATAGTATGTTATACATATATCAATTGTATCAATTAATAATATACCCATGACATATACAAGTGTACATGGAGAGAAGTCGTGGAAGAAAACTCCAACGAAAAAGAAAATTGATTACCTCAACATATGTCGCACTGCTCAATCTAAATTTATCATCAAGGTATGATGACGGCAAATATCAAATGTTATAGTGAACAAGTAAAAATGAGTGGATGGATCGAGGGAGTTATAGTTTGTCCAAAATGCTCAGCAAATCCTCTTCCTTCCCATAAATATTATCCAGGACATAACTGGTCAAATTTGCTAGAAACAAATAAGTATAACACCTCATGAGGTCCAACACAAAATTGAAACACTTTCATTTTTCTTTTGTAGATTTTTGTGAAGGAAATAATATTTGATGGATAAAATAACCTCTATATTTTGACGCAAGTACCTTAATTTCTGTTTTTTCTTAATCGTGAGGCGAGTTTTCTAAAAAAATTGTAACTTAATATCATGTGAAACAATAATTAATTTCTCGAATGATCATTTTGTCTATTAAAAAAAATTGAAATCAAGAATAATAATAATTTTCTAAGATAATAATTACTAGTTAAGTGATCCTTTGAGAACAAGTAAAATAATGACCTATATTAAGCTCATAAGACATAAATAATGGACACTTGAAATCATATCATAATATTTCTATAACTATTGCTATGCTTTAATTTCAAATAAGTCGTATATTTTAATCGGTGATAGCCCCGATGCATTTTTACTACTCTCTCCTAAAAATGCCTTTTAAAAACACTATTTTCGACTCGTATTATGTGCTATTAGAAAGCAAGAGGAAGGACTAAGGAGCTGTAAATGCAAAATTTTAAGTAGAAATTATATTTTTCAAAATAGTAAAGCATTCAACGAAGTCAGAAATGACAGAAAGCTTTTTTAAACTTTGTATAATAATGCCTTAGAAAAGTGATTACACGGCAATGAATATACAGACAGACCAACCTCAATTATCGGTTCATTTTTATTTTGCTTTTTATCTTATAATATATGATTCAATAAATTTAACTTTTATTTTAATTAAAATGTGCATTTTTTTATCCCAACATGTGAGAAATATAATCATATTTAATGATTTTAAAAATCATATTACTCACATTTATGAAATAACAATACAAACTCAACATAATACATAATTGTTAAGTTTATGAAAGTTTCCTTTATGAAATTACAAGCAAAAAAGATCAAAAGTACACATTTTAATTGAATTTAAGATTAAAAGTGCTTAATCAGATTTCAATGAGGGGCTAGAGTCTCCCTAGCTCCTTCCAAAGAAAAATGTTTTGGTGGGTAAACCATTATATACATACATGATTCAAAAAAATTGAACTTTAAAAAAACATGATATAGATAATTTGTTCTAATATAATTTTACGATAGGCTTTGTATTGGTTTAATAATTAAATCGAACTCAAACTCTATTAAATGAACTAGAAAAACTTTCAGAAGGAGAATTTTGAACAATGATTAGACCAGATTAATATAAGGTTGGACTTTTAATAAAGTGTTATACCCTGGGGTCCCTTATGTTTGTTTGATTTTCAAATCAGTCTGAAAGTTGAGCCTTTGCATAATGACAAAAAAACTTTTGATTAAGGAATTTAATTATTAAGGGGCCTCTAAATTCTTTATCGAATTGAAATCTTAATCATAATCATCATGCTTCTTATTGCACATGCTTAATTATCTCAATTTTATTTTCCTCCCTTTTACAGCTTTTTCTTTCTGGAATGGATTCACAAATCACAAAGAAAATTTCCACATTTTGTTTTTATTGAAAGAGAGCATAAAAATGACCTTTTTTTTTATTGATGACATTTTAAACTAAATTTGAATTTTGCATAAAAAAGTTTCATATCGTAGAATAAAAACGCTTCCTATTAACCAAAGCCACTCCCTATCTCGTGCTAACTAAACATAAACAATGAGTAACATATCTTAATTCTGTATTTTCGAATATTCACATTTTTACATCTTGAAAGTCAAACTATATGGTGTTTAATCGACATTTTAAAATAATATTTACCATATTCGAAATATTACAATCTATAATATTTTGCTCAGTTTAAAAAATAAAAAAAATAACCTATCATTTTATACCTATTTTACTTTTATTATTAACTATATTAATTATTTCTTATTCATATAAATTATATGACTTATAATAATCAACAGTGAAAAATTGATTATAGATGATTTTAGAAGAGATAGAGATATATCAAAAAAATTATATTATGGGAAGTCATTAAATAGATCATGATACGAATTTAACTTATCGAAAACATTATCTTAGATATGAGGCTATAATAATTACGAATTGAACTAACAGGTTAGTTGATAGTTGAGAAAATCTTATTTATCCTTCCATACTAATAGTAACTTTGTGGGATTACATTAAATACGATGTTATTGTAAAAATGATAGATTCAGTTTCAGGCAGTTATGTATGATGTAAATAAGTGAAAAAGGTCACCCACCCCCGACAGTCCACATTCTGTTTCACTTTTACCAATTTCAGAAAAATTCAGTCATGAGCTGTAACTAAAATTTTGAACATATAAGCATCCCTTCTTTTTTTAACTTCTTCCCACCTCTTTACATCATAATAATCTCTAATTTCTCTCTCTTTTCTCTCTCTCTCACACACACACTCACGCAAACCAACAACAAGAAGAAAATTCCATTCCGGAATCCAAAACAATCAATGTGATCATCTTTTGGACTGTTATAAGTAAGAATTTCACTACCTTTTATCATCTTCCTTCATGGATTTTTCTTGTGCAATAATCAGAGAGAAATACCTTACGAATTTGTAGGAAGTTAGAAAAATGGACGGAGAAGATAGGCCGAGGACGATGTGGAGAAACTTGAAGCAACGGTTACGATTCACCGGACTGGTTTGCTGTGGATCCTCTTGGAACTTGAGAGTATCAGACGTGACGATGAGAGGAGAAGAAGAAGAAGAAGAAGAAGAAGAGGCCCAACAATTTGAAGCCCAATTATTCGGTGAAGAAGAGCCCATAATCGGGGACCATCAAGGGAACGTGAACCTCGCTACAGCGTTGGCAGCGGAACGTCAGTACCGGAGCGTGAATGCCACGGCGGAATTGAAGACGTTGATGAGATTGTTTGAGGAAACGGACGGCAGAGATGAGAAGAAGAAGAAGAGTCTGAAATGGTACATTAAAGAAGAAGGAAGAGGAGGAATTGATGAAATGTGCTGCGTGTGCATGGAGAGAAATAAAGGCGCAGCGTTTATCCCCTGTGGACATACATATTGTAGGGTTTGTTCAAGAGAATTGTGGTTGAAGAGAGGCTCTTGCCCTCTTTGTAATTGTTCCATTGATGAGATTCTCAATATTTTCTAAGATCACATGAGTTTTTTTCGCTTTTTTCATCAACTCCATAAAATTTTGTAGTTACATTAACTGTACTGGCATTTCATACTTTAAAACAAGTCAGTATAATCATGAAGAACTCAGTCAAGTGATTTGTGTAGCTTTCTAAACATCATTCAAGTTGAGGATTCCACAAAGGCAGATAGTAGTATTACTGGTTCAATCCATATTACTATTTGGATTTTGGTTTGAATTCAAATGGATATCTGAGGCATGAGCAGCAGCTCCAAAGGTGAATTCCTGGGGAGGAACGCCAATATCAGGACGAGCGAAAATTGATGTAGCACCAGAAAAGTTGAAGGCTGGAATTTGAACGGAATCACTAGGCTTTGGGTAGTTAAAGCTCAAGGATGGCAGCACAGGAGAAGAGAAGACTGGCATGCCAAATGCAGCCTGGTTCTCCAGTGACCCGAAGATCTTCTGTTCATACTCTTGTAGTTGATGGTAAACCCCTGCATTACCAAAAAAATAACACGAAAAAAGGTCTCTCATTGACATATAGGGCTCTAATAACAAAAACAAAATCTAGATCATTGCCTGTCACACCAGCATATCCGAGCAGACGTATCATAGCTTTTCAGATTAATAAAAGGTAAAATGAAGAAATGCTTATAAGGGTATAACTAAACCTTGATTAAGGTCGACATAAGGCCTCCGATCTTTCACCCACTGATAGCTCTGTGCAAGTTTCCAGCCTCTACTTTTCATCAGGTAAGCAATTACAATGGCAGGTGACCTGTCAAAAATGCACAATTTAAGTTCTAATACTAGTTACTTCTGTAAGCACAATCAATTGAAAGCAATTCAATGGAATAGTTTACTGCATTTCTCATTCTCAATCAACAAATCTAGTGTTTCGATAAACACACTTTGACCTGTACACCATTATATTTCAGGGAAACCCGGGGAAAGAACAAAGAGAATGGAGGAAAGGATGCAACACCAAACAAAAAAGAACAGAAAAATAAAAAAACAGAAAATCATGAAAACTTATGCATGCAAAATTCACAAATCAAACTCCAAACCTGCTTTTCCCTGACATGCAATGTACAAGAACACAAGCCCTATCCTTTTCACATTGTTCTGCAGAAGAAAAGTAACATTAGCATCAGTTTAGCAGCAGAGCATCTCCACAAAACAAACAAAGATGGCTCTAAAATAAAGTTGAAACCATAAACATGATAGTTTCAACTATAGCAGTTGAATTGCATGATATCATATTTTAGCACGAATACTATACTTTCCTACTCAACAGTTGTAGATTGTAAGGAAGTTCAAGTTTAATCTTCAAGTGCTGTCAAGTTCAAATACATATCCAAGACACGAACAAAGCATTTGGAAGAGGAAAAGAAGAGTGCAAGCTTCGTTTCCTACTTTACCCCAAAAGTTCAAAACAACGGCTTGTAGGAGACAAATCTATACACAAAAGAAGCCTGTAGAAGACTCAACGTTCAACTGGAAAAAACTACAATTGAAGATGGGTAAAAGAATGAAGTACTGGATTCTTTGAAGAGCTTGCAGTCGAAGTCCAGGTAGATAAATTCATAAGAGAAGCTTAACACAGTAGCTTGTCCTTCACAGACAGGGATCATTGGCAAACAGCCAGAGGGCAGAAGTAAAACACATACAATAAAACTCTCTATACAAGCATGTCAACTCGGAGGATGGATGCCTTGTCACGTGGAAAATACAATGCTAAAGCTTCAAAGTTTGGAACTAGGTGATTATTAGGAAGAGGAACAAGGGACATAATCAAGCATATCAAGACTTAATAAATTGATCAGAAGTTAACTTACAAGGGAGAAACTTCAATTAAAGAGTTAAACTCATCTGAGATCAAAAGGCTGATAATATTTACAGCTGAAATAATGCATGTTGTTTTAGGAAAATAGCTATGATGTTTACACAATGTGAATGGAATTCATAATGCAGATGTTTAACTGGTAGGTATTGCGAAATATAAGGGTTTCTAATTATGTTTTCGGGTTTTGCAGAGGTTTTCTACAATGTTCTTTTTTTTTATGGGAAGAATTACCTAGTGTTTTTTTGTCTCCGTTGAGTCTTGAACCTGAGACCTCAGGGTTCTTAACCACTTCATTGACCACTAGACCACACCTTTGGGTGCTTTCTACAATGGTCTTTTGATAAGTAAACATTTGTATTCTTAATGATAATACCCCAAAAATAACTACGTGCTAGTAAAAACTTTCCTTTAGAAAAGTCATTCAATCACAAATTATTTGTTAGGAAATTTAAAAAGAGAAATTCAAAAGATATTGCCAGAACTTCTTTAAAAAGATGCTCAAAACCCATTTTATTTGGTGTTAGTAACTTTACGTGTTTAAAATCCTATTGTTCCTTGATATCCCACAAAGCCAAGAATCTAAAAAAGAAATTATCTGAAATCCTATGTCAGACTAAAATACTCTTAAACCTGTAAAGTAAAAAATTGTCAAAAATAAGCTTAGACATACTAAATTCACAAGTAATGACACTCACCTAAGAATTGGATAGCATCGTCAAATTGCAAATCTTGCTCATCCTCAAGGCAGTGATAAGTAAAAGAGTTTTTATATAGATTTTGGCAAGCAGGTACAGTCTGCACAGAGAAAAAGTAAATGTGGATGAGAACTTGGTTCCATAATATTGACAGTAATAGGGATGATCTATAGAGCTTGCAAAAGTTGTCTCATGCATAACTTCTGAAGCACTAAAATGAAAATTGAAATGGCGTAGCAAGAGAAACATCAGCATGTTTTAGCAAACAGCCTGAGTTGCTAGATATAATTTAGTTCGCTTCAGATGGTAAAACATTCTCAAGATTAAATTGCATCAATTAAAAAATTGCAGAGAAACAGCCCAGTGTACTTGAAAAGAGCAGGAAAATGAACAACCTATGTGGAACTGTTTGCCACTCTCTTACCCTCTAAATCGTGTTATTCACCAGTAAAAGTTAAAAGACCTAAAGTTCAGCTTGATTGAAAAGGTGACAAACAAACCTCACCAGGTTCTTTCTGTTAGTGAGTATAATTATTCCACAGCTCATATTTATAGGATTCAAAGACTGTTCCTTTAGAGAACTATAAAATCACGACCTCCCTGGTGGTAATTCATGAAAGCTCATGAAGATCCTGATCAATAATGGAAGGGCATAAACAAAAACATACAACAACAGGCGACCACTCAAGCTAAAAATGAAAAAGGTTCTCCTCCTTTTCTTAGTAACTAACATCTTATTCAAGATCTCCTTCATAACCTAATGGCAGATATACATCAGAAAAAGGAAAACTAACCTTTCCCTTCTGGACAAGAGACTAATTAACTAGACAACGAGAAGGCATCCAAGAGAGGAAACGGCCCATATAAATCAAGCAGAGTAGGGGATCCATAATTATGTCCACGAAACCCCGGAAAGGACCACTAATCAAATTAACATTCAGCCAATCCAGATTCACCGAATGATGTGTACTACACTTTATGCAATCCGTCCCTCTAACTACAATGATTGATATTAGTTCCATTCTGTTTAGCTCTCTTGTCAGTTCCTTTTCTTTCTCTTCTTTCTGAGAAATTCCCCAAGGCTTCAGATTGTGTACATAACTCCTACTGTCTTAGGCAATATCGTCATCCAATGAGCTATAATCTTTTGCCTTCCTACAAACAATAGATCATGCAATGATACCACTCATACACATCACAGTTGTAGTTTCTTGCATGCATCATCATACATGAGCCAGACAATATCATATCCAAACTGCAGCATGTGTTCTCCTCAAAGCTTCCTATCAATCTTATTTGGACTATTCCCACTAAAGTTGGCTTAGCACTTAACTGTGGATTCGGGAATATATAAACTACAAGAGAATGTACTACAGAGCTTCACCAGAAAAAGAAAATGTATTACAGATTGCTATTGACGAAATGGCAAGTACAAAATCCCAAAAAGAAACCCATGGAGTTCAGAATTGAAAACAATAAACCTCACCAGGCTTATTAAATAAAATGAGATAATGTCCATGTCGGTTCCTGTCTGAAAGGGGAAAGTTCAATTCCAAACACCAACCAATCTTCCAAGGTCCAAGCATATGAATTTGACGTATAATAAGTTGTTTGTGATCTCATATTTACATTCTTCTCTTTCTGGCCATATGACAAATATGAACATTCTAAGATGACATCAGAGACATACTGTATGGCCTAGCTTCCTACAGGGAACTTCCCTTTAACACTCTGTTTGGATCATTGTTACCCATTGTTTTATAATGTATTGTATTGTATTGTACTCTATTGTACTGTATTATATGGTAGATACAATGTTTGGCTAGACTGTATTGTTTGTTGTTGTTTAATAACATTTTTACTGTTTGGTTTGACTGTATCGTACTGCATTGTAATTTATAAATTTACTAAAATATCCTTAATTATTCTAGGGTAGGAGGTTTGACTAGAATTAAATAATATATGGTAAAGGGTAAAAAGGTATTATGAAATATTATGCCATGATATAATTGAAAAAAGAAATTAAGTAACAATGGGAACACACCAAATTGGTTGTTCCATAAAATGGGGGTTTTCATTGTTACGTAACGACAAAATTTAACAATACAATACAATACATTTTAAGTAACAATCAAAACAAACATTGTAGGTATGGTAACGATACAATACAATACAATGGGTAACAATGATCCAAATAGAGTGTAAATGGCACTACATGCTTTACAAACTAAATTAATGCAGCACGCCACAAAGGATTAGTTAAGCAGATCTATCTTCAGTTGATAGGGACTGTCCTGGAATGAGATGGAAGGGTCTTATGTTCAATAATGCAGCCCGACCAAAAGTCTGGCTGCAGTTGCAAGGAAGATTGATGACAGTTGACAGGTTAGCTTCTTGAGGAATGAATGTGGATCACCAATGCAGGTTATGTGCTGTAGCAAATGAATCCAGCGACCACTTATTTGTTCACTAGCTGTATTCACAATAGCT